CGTGTAGGTAGAACGCCGTGTCGTCTTCGACGACATTCAGTCCTAGGTACTGAGTAACTTCGTCGGACACCGTAAGTGTTAAGTCTTCTTTCAACTCCCCTTCGAACCAGGTGGCGATGTCGGTAGTGGAGCCGATGTAGAGCAGGTCGTCGACGTAGACGATGAGTAGGACATACTCTCTTCCCTTCTGCAGTCGGTACATCCCTTGGTCATGCGGCAATTGTAGGAATCCGATTTTTGCGAGACGGCCGTGAAGGTGCTGCTGCTAGAGCCGCGGGGCTTGCTTGATCCCGTATAGGGATTTTGTCAGTCGGCATACTTTCGTGGGGTCGTCGATGAATCCGTGGGGTTGTTCGACAAAAATCTCAGCGTCCACGGGTGCGTATAGGAACGCATTGGCGACGTCGATTTGGCGTAGTGGTAGTGTCTTCGTGGCCGCGACGGCGAGTAGGATGCGTAATGAGGTGTGACGGGAGACTGGAGCGAAGGTTTCTGTGTAGTCAGTTCCGTATCGTTGATCGAAGCCTCGTACGACCCATCGAGCTTTGAATCGTTCGATGGAGCCGTCTGAGTTGGTCTTGATGCGGTACACCCATTTCCCCGAGAGGACGTTCTTCCCGTTGATGCTTGTTGCAGGTACCAGTTTCCATGTTTCTCGGTCTTGCAGAGCCTTTAACTCCTTTTCCATCGCTTCTTTCCATTTTGCCTTATGTTCCCCCCCCAGAGCCTGCGACAAGGTCGAAGGCTCACGCGGAGAAGGCGGCGGCGGATGCTGGACGGAGACCCAGAGGCCTAGAATCTGCAGTCCCGTGGGTGTGTGTCGAGGGGAATTTTCATTCCCGGAATAAGTTGCTTCGTCACCGTCTTTTGGGTCAGGTGAGAAGTTGGGACCGATGCGTTCTGAAACATTTGTGTCAACTGGGTGGGGTGTAATGTAACCTTGGTCAGCGAAGTGGTAGAAGGTGTCGAGGTTGTTACTATCGAGAGGATTGTCGTCGTCGAGTGGAACAGATACGGAACAGAATGGGAGTGGTCCGGCAGTTTCCGAGGCTCCAGGTACGTCTTCTTCTGCCGCGTCAGCTTCGGCAGCACGATCGGCGAAGGAACGAAGTCCCGAGAAGCCGTCGGTGGGGTCTTGTGTGTTGGCGATGTTGTCCAGGTAATGCTGCAGCGTCAGTCGCTCGTAGAAGATAACATCACGTGATGCCACCGTATTTTTGTCTTGTATGTCGAGAATTTTCCACGCGTGAAAATGTTTGGCGATGCCGAGGTGTAGTCCCCACCGAGCTCGTTGTGTGAAGCGTCCTGCTCGGGCTGTGTGGGGTCTGTACTGTACCATGCAGCCGAAAACTCGGAGTAATTTTGTGCTGCCCCTTTTTCTTGTCCACAACAGGTGCGGTGATGCGTTGTTGGGAAGTGATGACGAGGACAACAGGTTGTGCAGGTGAACTGCATGTGTCATCGCGTCTGGCCACAGTGTGGTGGGCAGCCTCATTCCCAGAAGCAGTTTTCGCATCGTCGTCTGCAAGGTCCGATTCATGCGTTCTGCGACCCCCTGCTGTTGGTGAGCATAGGGCAGGGACACCAGGCGTCTGATTCCTCTTTCCGCCAGATAGGTCCTGAAGCGTTGTGACTGGTATTCCAGTGCACCGTCTGACTGGAAGCTCTTGAGTTTGAGTCCCGATTCTCGTTCGGCGATGGGAAGCCATGTTGTGAAGGCTTCGAAAGCTTGATCGCGCGTCTTGAGATTGAAGTGCCAGACGTATCTGGTTGCTGCGTCGATGAACGTGATGACGTAGTTGAAGTCGGCTTCGGTGTCTTCTCGAGGCATGTTTAAAATATCGCTGTAGACCTTTTCCATCGGAGCGTAAGTAGGTGCGCTTGGGTTGTGATGAGATGGGAAAGGTTGATGAGGAAGATCTGCTTCGGGGCACGTGAAGCACCGTGCTCGTGGTCGTCGTAGTTCTTGGCCGCTCGTCGTTAGAAGGGCGTTGCGTTCTAACACCTCTGCTTGGATTGTTTGTAGTATCGTGCTGTTTGCAGGATGTCCGAGACGTTGGTGCCAGATGTCGTCGGAAGCGCGATGACCGGGCGAGCGGTGGTAGATGTCGGCGTTGGAGAAGAACGCGACGACTGAGGCGGGACTTCGACAAACTTCTCGTGTGATGGGCATTAGCTGGTCTGCTTCGGTTGGCGGTCCTCGGGTCGCTGGTGCTGGGACTCGGCTGGGTCCTGCTGCCGATACTGCAGGTGATGGTTTGGTTGGGATACTTGCGGGTACTTGTCTTTCTTGTCTTATAACTGCTAATGCTTGTGTTCTCTCTGCTGCAGGTATGGTGTTGGAGTGCCAGAAGCCGTCACTGTCGAAGTCGGGATCAAGATCCGGCGGGTGAGTCCAGGCGGGGAACGATACGATACCGTCGCTGTCGGCAGTACCGCGGTCGGGGACGAAGTCCAACACGAAGACGCCGGACTTCAGGAGGGCACGACCGATGAAGAGGCCGCCCTTCCCGTGGTAAAGCCGAAACTCGTTGGAGTAAGAGTCGCACTCCAGGTGAATCCCCTTGGCCATTAGTTGGCTTACGCTTAGTAGGTTGTATCCCAGATTGTCGACAATGAGCACTTTGTTGAGCTGAAGTATGACGTTTGTCTCCATGGATTGTAACTGAACCACGCCTTGTCTGTTTGTCTTCAGGTTTTCGTTGTTGGCGACGGTGATGACGACGTCGCGGTTGAGGCGTTTCTCCTGTTGCACGAAGCGTCCCGAGGAGCACATGTGTTGACCGCAGCAGCTGTCCAAGAACCAGGTGTTTCGCCCGGTGGGTTCGGCGTTGGCGACCGCAGCATATGTTGGATTGACTTGAAGGCCTTGTGAGCGCGGTGGCGGCAGCTCTTCTTCGTCTGGCGCGTAGGTGGGTGGTGATCCGGGTGCGCAGTTGTCGATGTGTACCATGCAATAGATAATGTTTGGTGTTTGTTGTGCAGATGTTGAAGAGCGCCTTGGGGGACTTGCTTGGGTGGAAGCGACTTGTGGGTCTGCTGGACGGTAAACGCGAGGGCGGTTGCAGTTGACCTTGGAGTGCCCGGAAGTCTGGCAGTTGTGGCAGAACGGCGGCACGAAGGTAAGTCCCCTGTTGTCGCGTTCTTGCTTGCCGCGTCGATTGTAGGTGTTGTCGTTTCTTCGTTGAGTGTAGAAGACTAACTGCTGTTGCTTTCTTGGTTGTCTTTCTTCGAACAGGTCCATCTCCTGTTGTTCAGCGTGAAGCTCGGCGCAGAGGTGCATCTCCGAAATCCTTCCGTGGGCGCGAAGAAGCGATCGTGTGGTTCTCCATTCTGGCCCGAGCCCGGCGAGGACAAGTGTTACGAAGCTTTCTTCAGTGATTGTTCCTCCGCACCGAAGCAGGCGGTCGCGGAGGGTCTGGCAGCGACTCATATACTGCATCGCCTTTTCCCCGGTCTTCATCTGTATTGTTGTTAGTTGTTGCATGAGTCTGCTTTGTGTCACGCTGTCGTTTGCTTGGTAAAGGCACTTGAGATGGTGCCATGCGAGCTCCGCGGAGTTTCCATAGCTCCTGTATGTTCTGATGCTCTGCTGTTCTTGTGGTGACAGGTTTCTCAGGAGAACCATATACGCCAGCAGCGACTGATACGTGAAGATTTCTTGTTCCTTTCCAGTGCCGTTGCTTGGGAATGGTAGGGACCCGTTGAAGTATCCCAGAAGATGCGCGGCCTCCATCAGCAGCTCAAACTCGAAGCTCCAGGTAAAGAAGTCGTGTCCGTTGAACGGTGAGGATGTCTGCAGTTTTATCACGTGCGAGAACTGCGCCTGGAGACTCAAGATTTCGTTTGGTGTTTGTTGTGATGCAGCTGCTGTTGGTTGGGCACGGGGCGGCATAAACTCGAACGTCCCCGGTGAAGAGTGATAAGGCGCAAAGGTAGGCGCTTGATTGTGTCGCCCAAACGATGAGTTGTCGAGGCTCATCGGCGCTAATCCCATGTTTCCTCCATTGCTTTGTGTTGAATGCGCAGGTGTCCTTGTCTGCTGCTGCTGGTCGAAGTGCGACATGAAGCTGAAGAACCTTTCCATAAGGTTGGGGTCCACGCTTGAAGAGGGAGATGGAGTCACCATCTCTGGTACTCTTCCCGTTGTTTCTTGAGCAGTCCCGGTCTCTGTCTGCAGTCCTGAGGTGTGCAGACCAGAGTTGCCGTGTTGAGTTTCTTGGCCGCTGGGTGAGCCCGTAGAGACTTTCTTGCCCTTGCTGTCCATGTCTTGTAATCAATGAAGTCGTTGAATTGAGTTGAGTTGCAGGTTGTTGATGGAGCGTAGTTGCTGGGAGTTTGGTCTCTGACCAGCTCTCATACCATATTGGGCTGAGAAAACTCTTAGGATCTTTTGCAGAGACTAAGTCCCAGCTGTAGAGACTTTGAGACTTTGAGTAGTGCAGCGGAGGTTGAGGCAGTTGAACCCTTGTACTAGTATGTGAGAACAAGTGATTGATTAAAGAAACAAGCATACAGCAATATATAGAAGATAAGAAAGCAGTTGTAGAGTACAGTTACAGGAACGGTTTATCGAGTCGCACAGCGACTCGATTGCCGCTTCGGTTACCATCCGTGATGTTGTAACGGTCAGTCGCAACCTCCAGTTGCGACCTTTCGAGTCTTTTCGCATTCTTTGTCCGCCCCCTCATGTAACCTCCGTTGACTCGCGTGCTCCCCTGTAGTCTTCCTCGAGTGCAGTGTTACACTTCAGAAACGCTTAAGTCCTTTGAGATATTTCCAACAGAACCAATATGAGGCCCTGGTCAAGTAGACGTTAAACACCCTGAAAGGCAGATGATGATGAATGTGCTGAATTGAACAGCAAGTCAGATCTCAATCACTACCGCATGTGCAAGAGAGCCTCTGGTTCTTTCCTTGCAACAACCCACGTTTCAGCTCCCCTGGAGTGAAGTTCATGCACTGCCAACAGACTGCTGCCTGCCAGGGTTGAAGGGGCAGAGACTAAACTGCAGGAACAGTGCTGGAAGATGCTTTGGCGCACAATGCTATACATAGTAGAAACCTGTCACAATGGCAAACAATGGTGCTACATTACATGCTACACAGGACCTGCTTCCTCGTTACGCCTCTTTACTACCATCCTCCCTCTCGTCGTCTCGTTTGTCGCCCTGCCTTTCTGAAAGCCCTCGCCCTCCTGCTCCCGCTGCTTGGTAGCTGCCGGCATATCTCTCCTGTTCCTCCGTCTGGATAGCCCTAACATGCCCAATCTGACCCCCTCCTCTATCTCCTCCCTCCCCTCCCTTCCCTTTCTCCCCGTTCTCCCCACCCTCTCCGCCCTCCCCACCGACTCTCCCTTCTCTAAGCCCGCCAGAACGTTTCAAACCGCTGATCCCTGCACCGTCCCCTCCGCGTCCCTTCCTGTTCGCCAGCCGTTTCGCCTTGAGCTGCTCTCTACACTCCGCCAGCACCGCTCCCCTCAACCCCTGGCAGCTCATGCCCTCCTGGTCCATGGAGATGGCGAAATACAGGTAAATCGCGCACAACACCACGAGTATCGCCATTGTTCGCAGCAGGTACTGGTGCCGCGCGAGTAACGCTCGCACCGACATGTCCGGCTGACCCCCCAGACTCGCGTGTCTGGCTGCGCGCGACGTGAACAGCGGTAGAGAGGCATTGACGCGGTCGGACGAAGGGTTTGTGGGATTTAAGGCGGTTGATTTAATGGGAGACGAGTCGAGAATGGGTTGCGGGAGAGAGAAAGCGGATGGTTTGTTGCGATCCGGGCTGAGAGGCGTGTGGCGTCTGTAGATCTCTCCGCCGGGAGATGCCGCTGATATGGAGGAAGCTAGAGACGGACGAGAGCCGTCGATTTGGCCTAGTTGCACGGGACTGCCGTCGGATGTTTGCAGGCTGTTGTTGCTGCTGCTGTTGCTGCTGCCGCCACGCAACAACGAGCTAGCTGTCGATGACATGGGGAACGAGGAACTCGAACTAAGGTAAGGATTATCTACAAGCAGGTATACACGAAAAATTAATTATGGTAGCGGTAGACATGGCGCTGAGAAGCACGAGTCACAGCAAGAAGGAACAGCAGGTGGTGAATGACAGGACAGGGCAGCGCAAAGTCCGGAACGTTTGGCTGGGTGGAGGAAGGGTGGTGGTTGGATTGGTTTGGCTCCAGAACCGCAGAGCAGCAATGGTCGGCGCGAAGTCGCGAAGTAACAAAGCATGTTACATTAATTTGGAAGGTTCTCGTACAGACTTACAAGTAGGTAAACGGTACATTGTTTCCTTCGAAGGCTTTGCCACCATCCAAACCTACCTTTCACGTCTTGGTTGAACATTTTGAAACCTGCTGTGACGTTGGACGCTTCCTCTGCATACCACCTCAATGTCCCATCTAGACCATTTCCCTGGGAATTAACCTACCACCAAAGAATACTTCATGCTACCTTCACACAATTCTTGGACCCATAAAGCCCCCATTTGAGTTTCCTCAACATCATGCCATATCAGCTGTTCCCCAGAAATATGCACAAACTGCTTCTTCGCACTGCTGCACCCGCATTCTCGATCATTTTGTCTGAACCACAGACGATTGGCCCAAGTCTTCTCCTCCTGGAGCATTATTAGTTGAGATGTTCTGCTGGCGCACAGCCGCAGCGGCTTTGAGCGCTGCTGCCTTTGAGCGAAGAGCTTCAAGCATCTCGCGGATTTCTGCTTCGTCGTCCTCAATGCTCACATTCCGCATGGAGTGTAGGTTCCTCGTCAGCGTACCTTGCAGCCTTCTCCCTTTGCTTGTGACGTTTGATGAAGGTGGAAGATCGAGGTCATCTGCACGGAAATTGAAGTTGAGAGTGTCCGTTCATCGCGTAAATCCACTAAATAACATTACCCGTTTGAAAATCTTCCTCTTCAGCTCTCCCCATTTGCATATTCCGAGTCAGCAATCTGGGAATGGCGCTTCGTAAAAAGTAATTAGCGTACTTGGAGTAATAATCCGCACCCTGACCAACATGGACCTCCGTAATTATCAGGGACGACTCCAAAAGCATCATCACAGCACTGCAGACAACGACAACAAGTACCGGAACGACGGAGCTCCGAAAGCGGACTCGGACCATGGTGAGATGAATGCGGAAATGGTTGTGACAATGGCTGAGCGGTTGAGAGATACAGGCGATTGAGCTTCACCCAAATGCACTCCAGGAGGTGAAATAGCATGCATTGTCGGGATTGCTGGAACCGATCAAAACTAGGGGTTCGCTCCTGCAGCGAACCAACCGATCGAGTAGCTTGTTCGTGTGCTGCAAACGAACCTGATGTGATGTGAAACCCTGGGGAGTAGCCTCGCTACATATCAGTCTTGGCGCAATTCCCGGGTCACCGTATGAACTGAGACCCTCAGACGTTTTTCATCAGGCAGGAGGGAAAAAATCGAGAGTGAAACGAACTTCGTCTGAACCCCGTATCACGGTTTTGCTGTCTGTTTTCGCTTATGCGTTACGGAAATTGGTAACTAAGGTAGCACTCCTTTGGGTGAATGCGAGGATTTGCGAAGAGACAAACTCTTTCGCATGTGTTTGAGGCAGTGGTTCGGCATGGGGTTCTGTTGCCTAGGGTGGACCTTGTTGCATTAGACAATGACAAGGGCACTTGGCAATGGCAACAACTAAGACACCAGTAATATAGCAGCTATCCATGCCATGCCACTGACCAATAGGCGCAGATTCCGCAAATCATGCCGCAGCCACGTCTCCCGCTGGCCGACTCATCTCGCTTTAGGCTCGTGCCGCCATTCGTGGTCGGCATTGCCGTCGGAGCTTGCATGATTCTGCTCCAGCAGTCCCTTTCCTCCCGTCTAGCCGGCACAACCGCCGGCGACTGGCAGAACGATCACCCGCAGCCGACATTCCGCCGCTATCCATCATTCTCCTCCGGGATAAGCGGCGTGAATCCCGGCGGAGAGGGTACGGAGAGCCGTGGTGGGACTCATGGCTCGCCTTCCGCACAAGGCGCCATAAATTACGGCAGGGGATCAGGAAAAAGCAGTAGCGCGTACAATACGAGTTCAGAAGTGGTGGCGGGAAAAGTGAATGTGCACCTGGTGCCGCACTCTCATGACGACTTGGGATGGCTCAGCACGATAGAGCAGTACTATGTGAGGATTAATGCTCATAGGAGAGATCAAAAGCCCCAGGACTCACCACTGACCAGTACCATCTCTTCCGTCCATCCTTCCGAGCACTTCACGCGTCACTCCCCCCCTTCCTCCTCCACCTCTCCCTCCTCCTCCCCTTTCTTCCCCTCCTTTCTCCCGCTCCCTTTCAAACCGCCCAACTCGACCAAGGGTACCAAATCAACCACCTACATAGTATTTTTCACCCCACCTGCCGTCAGAAGCAAATCACACCTTATCCCCCCCCGCTGCCATCAGATCTTGGCCGTCCAGTTCATCCTGGAGACGGTGGTGGATCAGCTGGAGGCCAATCCTGACCGTCGATTCATCCAAGTGGAGCAGGTGACGTGGCAGAATGTGACTGCAACAGCCAGTCCTCTCCAATCCATCGGGCCGAATGGTTGTGAACAGGCCCATAGCTATCAGGCTTTTTACTCTGATTTTGCTTTTTTTTTTTCAGGGTGTTCTCTTGTACCGACCCTGATGAATCAACCTTGAAAACGAAAGAATCAGGGCCAACCAGTAAGACAACCACTACCAAAAACTGTTTTTCAGGGTGTTTTTTGAGATCGACACTGATCAATCAGCGTGGCCTAAAACGAACCTGAGGGCCTGGTTGTGAAGCATGTGGACAGACATGTGGACAGACATGTGGACAGACATGTTGACAGACAATTGCCTCTAGTAGAGAGGCCGTATGGAAGTATGCCTGCAGATCCAGCGCATCCCAGAGGGAAACCATGACTCTGAAATCTGACCCTCAGAGTTTCTTTCGGTATTGCTGATGCATGCCTGCGATTCTGGTGTGTAGCACGCCCAGCACCCACGGTTCTTGAAGTCCCATACTCATGCATCCTCCCACGCATACCAATGCACAGTCCCATACCAATGCACAGTCCCATACCTAGGCTATGCCCACTGCCACAATCATGCACTCTCCTCCCATCATTCTGATGCACTCTACTCCCATCATTCCCATCATTCCCATCATTCCCATCATTCCCATCATTCCCATCATTCCCATCATTCCCACCATTCCCATCATTCCCATCATTCCCATCATTCCCATCATTCCCATCATTCCCATCATTCCCATCATTCCCATCATTCCCATCATTCCCATCATTCCCATCATTCCCATCATTCACGGCCCACAGGGCTTCTTCTATCGCTGGTGGCAGCAGCAGTCACAGGGCATGCGGCAGCGGGTGCGCACTCTAGTCGACTCGGGGCAACTCGAATTCGTGTAAGTCAACCCATCCTTTCGAAGTGCATGGTACCCTGCTCCATGTCTCATGCCAGAGCATGGTACCCTGCTCCATGTCTCATGCCAGAGCATGGTACCCTGCTCCATGTCTCATGTCAGAGCATGGTACCCTGCTCCATGTCTCATGCCAGAGCATGGTACCCTGCTCCATGTCTCATGCCAGAGCATGGTACCCTGCTCCATGTCTCATGTCAGAGCATGGTACCCTGCTCCATGTCTCATGCCAGAGCATGGTACCCTGCTCCATGTCTCATGTCAGAGCATGGTACCCTGCTCCATGTCTCATGCCAGAGCATGGTACCCTGCTCCATGTCTCATGCCAGAGCATGGTACCCTGCTCCATGTCTCATTTCAAAGGCGTGTATGCACTCCACACACGTGCTGGGCCACTGCTGCCGCTCATCTCCCTCCCATGCCTTCCCCTTGCCGTTGCTGTGCCGTGCAGCAACGGCGGGTGGGTGATGCATGACGAGGCAACGTGCATCACACGGACATGCTGCACTACATGTCGCTGGGCCACCGCTTCGTGTCCCGCCTCCCTGGCCTCCCCGACCTCCCATGCCTTCCCCTTGACTCCACACCCATGCCTCCCCCTTCCCCCTCCCTCCTCCCCCAACCTCCGTGCCATGCAGCAACGGCGGGTGGGTGATGCACGACGAGGCGGTGTGCCACTACACGGACATGCTGCACCACATGTCGCTGGGCCACCGCTTCATCCGCCAGCACTTCAACGCCACGCCGCGCATCGCCTGGCAGATCGACCCCTTCGGCCACTCCGCCACACAAGCCAGCCTCATCACTGCTCAGGTGCGCTGGGGGAGATAGGGGTGTGGAGCCGGGAACAAGACAACAAGGGGTGTGGTTTGAGGCGCCTCAAGACATGACGCGACTCCCTCCCTCCCGTCCACCACAGGGTGTCTTGGACACAATGTTCTTTGCTCAGGCCGACAACGAGGACATTCCATGGCGCAAGACAGGGAAGCAGCACCGAGTCTGCACTGGGGGGTGAGATTTGAAGCTCCTCAAGAAATGACCACCTCTCCCCCCCCCTGCCCCCCCCCCACACCCACCCGTTACAGGGTGGGCTGGACGCGGTGTTCTTTGCTCGGGCGGGCCACTGAGGGTAAGAGGGAGAGAAGCGCCATTGGGGGGGTTTGAAGCTCCTCAAAGAAACACCCCCCTCCCGTCCACCACAGGGTGGGCTGGACGCGGTGTTCTTTGCTCGGGCTGACCACGAGGACATTGCACGGCGCAAGAGGGAGAGGAGCACCGAGTTTGTGTGGCGGGCGTCCAAAACGTTCAGCCAAAAGGCTGAGGTGCCTTCGGGAGTTATATACCTCCGCTCCGCTTATAAGCTGCCTCAATATTGGAGTCTCCGTGTGTGTGGTGGGAATCCGTCCAAGTCACTCGCTAGCATAGGTTTGGATGCAGTGTGCAACTTCTGCAGTAACTCCTCATCTGGATCCCGACGTTCCCTCGCTCCTTTTGAGTCGCCTCAAAAGCATAGGTCTGGATTGGATGGATGCAGCGCAACCCAACTTAAGTATCCCCTCAGCTGGATCCATATGAGAAGTTAAACCTGACGTTCTCCCTCTCTTCTACTCAGTCGTCCTCCCATGCTTCCATCCTCTCTTCCTGGCGCTCTTTCAAGTGCAGGTGTTTGCGGGCTTGCTCTATTGGGATGGCTACTATGCACCAGAGCCATTCAGATTTGAGCCAGACGACCCTCTCAAGAACCACGTCAAGGTTCGTTCTCATTCCTAAAAGCTAGCCTGTGTTAGGTTTTGAGCACCACGCCAAGGTTTTTGAGAACCACGCCAAGGTTTTTGAGAACCACGCCAAGGTTTTTGAGCACCACACCAAGGATTTTGAGCACCACGCCAAGGCTTTTGAGAATTCTCAAGAACGTAACATATGTCAAGGCTCGCATTTTCAAGAAGCCGTTTTGAAGCTGTTAATTGCTTCTGCATTTAGAGCGTTACGGCAGGGAAAAGGGAGAGGAGAATCGATTGAGTGAAAGAATCACAAATGAGAGGCAAACGTACTTGGTGTCATAAGCCCTTCCAAGCATGTGCGTTTTTGTGATCAGGTCATCCACCTCAAGACGACCCTTATGTGCCTGATTCGAACACCGTCGTTGTTAACAGGCCACTGACACAAGCTGGTGCCACACTGCCACGTACATTCCTCACCCCCACCACCTCCCCCACGCTCAGGAAGGACGACCCATACGAGGTGTGCTTTGAGTCGACTCAAAACACACCCGGCCCCTGACACAAGCTGGTGCCACGTATGTACATTCTTCACCCCACCCACCCTCAAGAAGGACGACCCATACCATACGTCCCATACGAACCTGCCCCAAACATCACAGAACGCCGTTGAATGGAATCGAATCAGTAGGTTCGCATGAACTAGTCACTGACACTGGACGTTGAGGCCTCAGGCCACCTCGACTGATGCAAGCACAGGGCAATCACCATCCCCTACTCCCACCCCCTTACCTACCCACCCACTCCTTTCCCCACCCAACCAACCACCACGACCCAGCTCCCCCGCTCACAAGGTACCCATGGCATGGCACCTACTTGGTGTTTCATTCGACTCACCCTCCACCCATCCATGCGCTAACCACCCCCCATGAGCCTGCCTGCTTTTTTGAGGTGCCTCAAAAATCGTCCCATCCACCCGCTACTGACCCCCCATGAGCCTGCCTGCTCCAACCCAGCTTGTGAGAGCTGCAGGACATGCTTGTGAAGAGGCCACTGACACAGGCCTGTGCGGATGTGATGCCTGTGAGCCATGCAAGGACTTGGGGTCGAGGCGAAGGAAGTGACCTGGACTGGTGCATGCGCAAGGCTGACACTCACCATCCCCTACCCACCCACCCAACCAATACCCACCCTCTACCCATCCACCGCTAAGCCACCTCCCCCACCCACAGGACGACCCCTACGAGGCGGACGCCAACACAGTAGAGCTGGTGGAGGCATTCGTGAACAGGTCGTTGACTCAAGCTTGTGCCTTATACTAAACCATACACCCCCTTACCCACCTTCCCCGCTCGCAGGACAACCCCTACAAGGCGGACGGCGGACGCCAACATAGCAGAGCTGGTGGAGGCATTTGTGAACGGGTCGTTGACTCAAGCTGCTGATACGCACAGTGCGCAAGTGATGTGGGCCATGGGGGAAGACTTTGATTCGACTCAAGAAGAAAGCCACTCACACGCAATCACACGAGGACCATGCCCACTTCCTGCCCGCCTTCCCCTTTCCTGCTCACAGGACGACCCCTACGAGCCCGAATCGAACATCGTTGAGCTGGTGGAAGCGTTTGTGAACAAGTCGCTGACACAGGCGGGTGATACGCGCAGCGCGCACGTGATGTGGGCCATGGGGGAGGACTTCTCGCACGCCAATGCTGCCCTGTGGTTCAAAAACTTGGACAAGCTGATTCACTATGTCAACCTGGTAGGGTGTGGTGTGGTGTGGTGTGGTGTGGAATGGTGGCATGGTACATATCCCAAGCCTGCCCTGTGTGGTTTACGATCTTGGTCAAGCTCATGCACTATGCCAACCTGCTATGACATGTCACAACGGCATGGTGTGGCGTGGTGTGGCACGGCATGCCAACCTTCCCCTTTCTCCCCTCCACCCGTGGGTTTGTACCTATGCTGCCAACCCCAGGACGGCAGAGTGAACGCCCTCTACTCCACGCCATCTCTCTACCTCGATGCCAAGCACCGCAGCAACAAGACGTGGCCGCTCAAGGAAGGGGACTTCTTCCCGTGAGCACAGTGAAATGCGTGAGACCCCTCAGACACTCACTGTGTGCACACGTCACGCCATCGCTCTACGTCGATGCCAAGCACAACAGCAACGAGGGAGAACACGGGTCCGGGCAGCTAAACACAAAACGAATGCTTGAGGCGTCTTAGAAAGTCACTTGAGGCACACTTTACTCCACTCCTGCCAAACACCAGAGCTCCTGGTTGACCACTCAAGCGGGGGAACTTCTTCCCATGCACCCGCACAGACGAAACGTGGGCCCCTCAAAGCGGAGGCATAGGTGAAATGCCGATGGGCATGCAGTGCAAGCGAAGCGAGCATGCACCTGACTTGCAGCACTCGCAGCCCCATCTGCATTCCACCTACCGCTCATGCGCTCTCGTGCGCTCACGCACACACAGACTATTGAACCCCCTTATGCACGGACTCTGGGGCTCTGGGCTTCTCTTCTCACCGCAGCAGACTCGTTCGCCTCGTTTCTTTGAGCACAAAGCCCAAATCAATTCGTGCTGCCTGCCTTGTAGTTGCTTGCTGCCCACCGGGGCATTCGCTGCACGCAGCACGCGTCTCTGTTATACCGTGTCACGGCCCACTCACGTGCTCATTCCGTCTCCTGTTCTGTGGCAGGTACGCCAGCGCACCCAGGGGGAGTACTGGACCGGGTACTACTCAAGCCGAGTAGTGCCTCCGTTGACATATTTGATGACGCCTGCCCACATGCCCTTCTCCTTTTGTTCTTCTGCAGGTACGCCAGCGGACCCAAGGAGTACTGGACTGGGTACTACTCCAGTCGCCCAGCGTTCAAGGGCTATGCTCGCATGTGCAGCAGCCTGCTGCTGGTGAGCTTCTGCCGATATATCAGTCTCATTTTCGCGCCTTCAAGTTCCCAGTTGGCTCCAGCATGTTTAGGCACCGGAGACCAACCTACAGACCAACCTACAGACCAACCTACAGACCAACCTACAGACCAACCTACGGACCAACCTACGGACCAATCTGCGGACCAACATACAGACCAACCTACAGACTAACCTACAGACCAACCCACAGACCAACCTACAGGACTGGGGAAACCATACATTGCGCCTGGTGGGGAAATGGTGGCACCTAGTCTCACGTGCTGCTGTCACGCCACCCCTCTCCTCGTGCAGACAGCCACTCTGCTAGAAGGCCAGGGACGGCAGATGCGTCGCCTGGTAGACGCCATGCTGCTGCTGCCAACCAATCTGAGTACCAATCGGACTACCATCCATGCGCCCACCCACCTCCCGTCCTCCCGCACACCCTTCCTTTTTCTCCTCCATTTTGCGTGCGTGATGCTCCTCTTGCAGGCAGCCACTCTGCTCGAAGCGTCACTGGGCAAGGCGAACCTACCAGACGTTGCACCAGGTTGGGGAATCAAGACATGTTGATTCACCTGTCCCTATCACGCCATACCTCCTCTTTTGCAGGTAGCCACTCTACTAGAAGCATCAGGGGGCAAGGCAAACCTTAAAGACCTGGGAAACCACACATCACGCCTGGTGGTCCCCGTGCTGCTGTGGACCAGCCTGAGCGGCATCCATGCCCCCACGGTTTCATCCACACCCTTCCTCCTCTTTCCTTCTGCGCCTTTTTGCCCAGACCCTGGTCGATGCTATTGCATTCAGCCACCCTGCTGGAAGCGTCAGTGGCTAAGGCAAGCCTACAAGCTTGGGGAAATCGCACATCTCGCCTGGTAGTCCCCGTGCTGCTGTCCACCAACCTGAGCGCCATCCATGTCCCCACGCCCCCGTCCTCCTGCCTGGCGTCCACGCCCCCCCTGGAAGAGGCGTGGCCAAAATAAGACCAAGACCCTCCCTCCTGCCTTGTCCTTCGGTCCGCTCGATACCCCTCTTTGCAGCCAGCCACACTTGCAGAAGCGTCAGTGGGCAAGACAAACCTGCAAGGTTGGTTGGGGTAACCGCACGTCGCGCCTGGTGTTGCCAGTGCTGCTGTCCGCCAACCTGAGCGCCATCCCCATGCGCCCACGCCCCCGTCCTTCGCCTGGCGTCCACGTTCCCCCTGGAAGAGGCGGTGGCCATGGCACAGCACCCGAAAAAATCGACCCAGATACTCCCTCCTTCCTTCCCCCCCATGCTGCACGCATGCTCAATGCTCCTCACAGGCAGCCACCCTACTAGAGGCGTCAGTGGGGAAGGCAAACCTACAAGCCTGGGGAAACCACACATCACGCCTGGTGGTGCCAATGCTGCTGTCCACCAACCTGAGCTCCATACATGCCTCCACGTTGCCACCCTTCCGGGTTGCGTCCACGTTCCCCCTGGAGGAGGCGGTAGCGGTGGCGCAGCATCACGACGCCATCACAGGCACGGCGCGGCAGCACGTGAACGACGACTACACGCTCAGACTGCACAGGGGGTCCCTGGAGGTGAGGCTATTCGGGTCACGGTTCGGAGTAAAGTGCACACGTAGCGACTGCTGGAAGTGCAGGAGAGGGTGGTGGTAGCAGTGGAGGCGGTGGTGGTGGCGGTGGTGGTGGCGGTGGCGGTGGCGGTGGAGGCGGTGGTGGCGGTGGTGGTGGCGGTGGCAGTGGCTGTGGTGGTGGCGGTGGCGGTGGCGGTGGCGGTGGCGGTGGCGGTGGCGGTGGCGGTGGCACAGCACCAAGACGCCATCACAGGTATGGCCCGACAGCTCGTGTACGACGACCACACGATCAGACACTACAGGGTGTCTTTAGAGGAACGACTTTCTGGGGTTTTGGTCTGGTGTAGGCTGCACGAATGGACATTTTTTCCCCCCGTTTAAGGTTCTAAGACGCCTCAGAACTGGAAGAGGTGGTGGCCGTGGCATAGCACCATGACGCCATCGCAGGCTCAGCCCGGCAGCACATGAATAGTGACTACATACACGCTCAGACTCAATAGGGGAGTGTTAGAATATTCTGTCTTCATTCTATTAGCCTACATCGTTTCATTGTCTTAGGTACTTATAAGCACCCCACTAGGGTGTATGCACCCAATTTGGGGGTTGGGTTCCCAAATTGATTGGGCTCCCAATTATTGGAACCCCCAATAATCCCAACCAAGATTATTGGACCCCCAATAAGTTGGCCAACTCAACTTATTGGGGTCCCCAATAATCGTGGTCACCTCCCAACCAAACCCCCCCTTCCTACTCCTCACCTATGCATACCCACTCGTTTCTTAATACAATCATCACTTCAGTTTCTTACATGGTTTCAGAGCTTATGGCTCACGCCTCTTCGTCTTTCGATCCCTAGCCACCTCGCGCCCAACGCGCCTCTCCCCGCGCCCTTAAGCGCCCCTCTCCGCGCCTTTAAGCGCCCCTCCCTGCGCCCTTAAGCGCCCCTCCCCGTGCCCTTATGCGCCCCTCCCCGCGCCCTTAAGCGCCCCTCCTCGCGCCCTTAGTCGTTGCGTTTTCGCGCGGCGCTCCTCCCGCATTTCGACGCGGCGCTCAGCCGCATTTCGATGCGGCTCTCGGCCGCATTTCGACGCGGCGCTCGGTCGCATTTCGACGTGGAGCCATTTCGACGCGGCACTTGGCCGCATTTCGACGCGGCGCTCGGCCGCATTTCGACTCGGCGCTCGGCCGCATTTTGACGCGGCGCCCGGCCGCATTTCGACGCGGCGCTAGGCCGCATTTAGACGCGGCGCTTGGCCGCATTTCGGCGCGACGTTCCGCCGCAATTCGAAGCAGCGCTCCCGCACCATCTTGATGCGGCCCTCCCGCCATATTTCGACACACCATCTCCTCCGCACTCCGTCGCCTCCTCCCCCTTTGTGCAGTCCCGGCGCCCCCACCTAACAAGCGGGATATGGCCGGGCTGACCTCTGTGCCGACGCGCACCGCACGCAACTGCCCGCAGCGTCCAATCGTCACCATCCGCTCCAGCCGTCGCCTTTCGCATCGGCGCCCGAAGAAGGCTTCGCGACTTAAGACTTAAGAGCTGCGCTCCGCGCACCCGCCTTTTTCCTCCTCCCACCTTCCTCCCTCCCTTCCTCTCCTCCTCCCCCCCTTCCTCCCTCCCTTCCTCTCCTCCTCCCCCCTTCCTCCCTCCCTTCCTCTCCTCCTTCCCCACCAACAGCAGCAGCCGCATCCCCCCCCAATCAGCCGCCACAGCCGCATCAGCAGCCGCAGCCGCACCCTCCACCGCCCTCCACCTCCTCCCCACTCCCCTCATCAGCCGCAGCAGCCGCATCTCCCCCCTCCACCTCCTCCGACTCCCCTTCCTCCCCCCACCAGCGGCAGCAGCCGCCTCATCTGCAGCAGCAGCAGCCGTATTTCGCCCCCTCCCCTCCCTCCCCCTTCTCCCCTCTCCCCTCATCCTCAGCAGCAACAGCATCAGCACCCGCAATTCCACCATGACCACCGAAGCACTCGTCATCGACATCTCCACCATCGACGTCCTTGAGCTCATCGACAACGCCGTCCCTGTCAACTGGGCTACCTTTGCTCAGAGCCTCACCAATGTCCTCGGATCCGCAATCATCAACGACTACTGCCTCCTTGACACTGACGCAGGGTAGCCCCCAGAGCGTCCTGCTGATGTCTCCCCTGCACCTCCCGCCCCACCTCCGGCCCCCTCGGGACCGGCCCCCACCAAGCCCTCTCCACTGGTCTACACCGACGACCCTGATTGCTGGGCTCGTGTGCAGCACCAATATGACAAGGAATTTGCAGAGTACACTCTCCTCCAGCACGCGTATGATGCAGAGCAAGCTGCGCACGACGCTGTCAACACTCTTCTCCAGCAGCACAAGGGCGCCACGACTAAGTATGCTGACGACTTTCGTGAGTACCGTTGTCGCCACTCTGCGTGGAACATTGCCAACCGCAAATGACTCGCTATCCTGTCTGCATGCATTCATTCCTCCCTCAAACGCGAACCTTCGCACTAACCTCGTCTCCCAAGGTGCACTTCAACGGGCCGGGGTCACAACAATCTACCCCAGCTACGCCACCCACTGTGACATATTTCACTCATCCACGGGTCATTTCATCGTCCGTGCTCCCATGTGTCCTCGCACTCGCATGTACACCCTTCACACTCCCCGTCCGTCAGCCTGTCACACTCCTCCACCATCCCTCCCCTCCCCTCTCCCCTCTTTCCTCCGCAACCTCCCCCCACCTCCCCTCCCGCCCCTCCTGCTCCCTCCCCATCTCAGTGCCAATGTCGTGATCTTACACATCCTGCCATCCTCCTCCACCACCGCCTAGGTCACCCCAACTTTGCCACCCTCCACAAGGCCGTCGCCTCCGGGCTCCTCAATGGCCTTCCCCTCACTCTTTCCCCACTCCCTCCTTCCCCTGCCCCCCCTTGCACCATCTGTGTCCAAAGCAAGCTCAAGCAGCTTCCTCATAAAAGTCACCCTTCCTACGCCCAAGAGCTCCTGTTTCTTGTCCACATGGATCTTTGGGGCCCCAAACCCTCCCCCACCCGTCAAGGGCACCGCTACCTCCTCGTCCTGGTCGATGACCGCTCACGATACACCTCGGTCTCCCTCCTTCGCACGAAGGCCGAAGCATCGGCCTTTATCATCGTCTGGGCCGAGCAGGCGCGCACCCACTCCGGTTGCCCCATTCGCCGCTTCCATTCCGATGGCGGCAGTGAATTCCTCAATCACCATCTCTCTTCCTATTTCTCCACCCATGGTATTCACCACACTTACACCCTCCCTCACTCCCCTCAGCAGAATGGCGAGGCAGAAACTCGTGTTCGAGAAGTTACAAAGACCGCCAGGTGTCTTCTCGTTCACGCCTCCTGCTCGCCTTCTCTCTGGGGTTATGCTCTTCTCCACGCCGTCCTCCTCACTAACATGTATCCCCACCCTCTCCTCCCCTCCACCACCCCCACCGAGCTGTGGACGTCAACTAAACCCGACGTCTGAGGGTGATGCTGTAGGGCTGGAGGTCATGCTGGCGCGCAAGCTACGGTAGAAAGGGAACTGCGAGAATGAGTATTGAATGTTGAAATGGCAGTAATTTATGCTGGGAGAGCTGACTCTGTTTGAGGCCAACTCGTCTCGAGGAGTTGGGAGAGATTGGGAAGTGACGAGGTGGAGAGGGGTGGACAGAGGTTCGAAGGGGGGGTTGTCGGGGTTAGGGTTCGAACTTTGAACTCGAAGTTGAGTCCCCGCGATGTGCGAAGGCCAGAATTTTTTTCCCCAAGTTGCAAAATGTTGCAAATTATTGGGTTTAGGTTTCCAGCACCCTCTGCTTCCACCTCCGCACCCGCCGCAGCAGCTCCCGCCGCCACACCAGTGCCTGCTCCGGTCACCGCACCCGCAGCGTCAGGATCCGCCGCAGCAGTTGCCCCGGTCAAGCAGCCGTGCAACTGAGTCGCAGAGTCGCAGTGTCGCAGCCTCCCCCCTCAGCAGCGCAGCAGACTTGCAACACCACCCTCCCTTCCTCCTCCTTTCTCTCCACTCCTCATCGAAGACTCCCATGGTGAATTTCTTCGCCTCCACCTCTTCTCCAACACCCAAGCAGTCGCCTTCAGCATGACCGGCGCCCCGGTACTTGTCTACTCCGGTGCGCCCATCATCTTCGAGCCGGGAGATTATCACGAAGCTATGACTTGGCCCGACCACCCTCATTGGGACAAGGCAGTCCTCAAAGAGAATGAGGCCTTTGTCCGCAACGGCACCTTCATCGACGTACCCCGCCCTCTCAACCACAACGTGGTCAAGGGCAAATGGGTATTTCGGGTCAAGCTCCTCCCTGGCGACGACCCGGTCTATAAGGCCCGTTACTGCGCCAAAGGATTCACGCAGCGGTACGGCCATGAATTCCTTGACACCTACTCGCCGACCGCCACTCCCCCTGTCGTCCGCGTGTTCCTGGACTTCGTCGTCCGACGCGGCATGATCTTGCACTCGATGGATGTCACCATGGCATTTCTCCAAGGTGAACTCCATGAGCGCATCTTCATGGAGCGTCCCAAGGGCTGGCACCTCCCTTTCCCTCCCAACATAGTTTGGGAACTTCGCCGCCTGGTCTACGGCCTCAAGCAAGCTCCTCGGGAAGAACATGCCAAGCTCTCAAGCACTCACCGTGCTCTTGGTTTTCGCCCTTCCCAGGCTTCCTCCTGCCTCTTCCTGCGCACCTCCCCCTCCCCCTTCTACATCCTCGTCTACGCCGACGACATGCTTCTTGCCGCTGACAACGAAGCAGACCTACAACAGGTCAAGGATGAGCTGCAGAAGCGCCTCCTCTGCAAGGACCTGGGGGAGGTCCGCAACTACCTCGGGATGGAGATTTCTCGCGATCGTGCGGCCAGGACCATCTCCCTCTCTCAGGCATTCTACCTCGAGAAGGTCCTTGAGCGCTTCGAGATGGCCACAGCCAAACCCGTCTCCACACCCCTCCAAGTCGGCCACCAGCTCTCGCCGACATCCAACCACGGTTCCTCCACCAGTCCTTACGCTGAGCTGGTCGGGTCCCTGATGTACGCCATGATGTGCACCCGCCCCGACCTCGCATACCTTATCAGTGTCCTAGCACGCTTTGTCGGCGCTGGCAAACACATTCCCGAGCACTAGCAAGCGGCCAAGTGCGGTCTCCGCTACATCAAAGGCACCAAGGACTATGTCCTCACCTTGGGTGGCCCCACCCCTCCTCAGCTCACTGGCTATAGCGACTCCTCTTGGGCGGATTCTCAGCCCAATCGTCGCAGCTCACAGGGGTATGGTTTCTCCCTAGGGAACGGCCTCATTTCCTGGCGCTCCTTCCGCTCCTCCTCGATCGCTTTCTCCTCCTGCGAAGCAGTGCTCTACGCCGTCACCATGGCGGGCCATGAGGCGCGGTGGCTCAGCTTCCTCCTCGCTAAGCTGGATTCTCCCCAGCCCTGTCCCACCATCTGGTGCGACAATGCCAGTACTATCCACCTCACAAAGAAAGCCGTTTTCCATGGTCGCTCCAAACACATCGAGCTCCGCCACTACTTCTTTCATGAGCTCGTCCAGGTTGGACACCTCACCATCCTTAAGATTGACTCTTCAGCCAACCTTGCGGACATCTTCACCAAGGCCCTCCCTCGCCGTCCCCATGCTGCTCTCCTTTGCTTCTGGGGCTTGCCCCTCCCTCACAGGGGAATATCTGATTCAGGGGTTGCTTCTCCTCACCTTCCCAAGACTTATGGCACTCTGTAGGCTAAGGGGTTGTGTTAGAATATTCTCCCTTCATTCTATTAGCCTACATCGTTTCATTGTCTTAGGTACTTATAAGCACCCCACTAGGGTGTATACACCCAAGTTGGGGGTTGGGCTCCCAACCTTGTTGGGTTCCCAAATTGGTTGGGCTCCCAATTATTGGAACCCCTAATAATCCCAACCAAGATTATTGGACCCACCAATAATCTTGGCTAGGATTATTGGACCCCCAATAATTTGGCCAACTCAACTTATTGGGGTCCCCAATAATCGTGGTCACCTCCCAACCAAACCCCCCCCTCCTACTCCTCACCTATGTATACCCACTCTTTTCTTAATACAATCATCACTTCAGTTTCTCACAGGGAGCACAGGAGGTAAGGAGTGGTTGGGGTGGAGTGGATTGTGAAGGGGTGGTGGCAGCACTATAAGAATCAGTCTGTTGCCAGATCATTCTCAGAAGCAACACCTGACTCAGAATCACCTTGCTTTTCTCAGGCTATGCGCACCCTTATCCATCCCCCTCCCCTTGCTCCATCCCAAACCAAACCCCTTGCATTTCTTCCCTACCCCAGGCCTCTGCGATAGTGGCATCAGCGCTCTCTCACCTCATCACTCAGGGAGCTCTGGACCTCAGATCCAGCCCTCCCAGCACCACACCTGCTGCCCCTGCTGCGCCTGAGTCCCCCGGTGATGCTGAGGCACCCGATAACGAGGCAGGCGAAGCAGGAAGTGGAGGCAAAGAAGAGGCTTTAAGGCTCGGACTTGACTTCCAGTTGGTAAGAAGAAGAAGAGTAGTGCCTCAATACGAAGAGCAGTGCCTCAATACGAAGAGCAGTAACCCCTTGAGGAGTACTTCCTCAATCTCTCAACATCGCAGCATCTCAGCATCTCAGCATCTCCGCATCTCAGCATCTCAACACCATCCTTTTCTCCATACCCCTCTCCCCCCGGCAGTGCCCCCTTCTCAACATTTCCTACTGCCCGCCCACACACGAGCCCATTCCCAAGGGCACCACTCTGGTAGCTTTACTCTGACCTCTGTGACTGCTGTTTGACTGCACCTTAACCTTGCAACCCCCCCATACCCATGCAACCCCCCATACCCATACAACCCCCCCATACCCATGCAACCCCCCATACTAGGCTTGAGCAAAGGGTCGGGTCGGGTCGGGTAACCCGACCCGAACCCGACTTATTGACGGGTCGGGTCGGTATTCCCGACGGGAAAACCCGACCCGACGGGTTAGGTTTTTTCTAGACGGGTCGGGTTGACCCGTACCCGACATGTCGGGTTTCGGGTCAACCCGACCCGAAGTCGGGTCGCGCGTCGACCCGACGGGATCTGCGCGACCAAAATCGCGCAGATATGAAATTTCGACCGTTTGGTCGAAATTTCAACCCTAAACTTCCTTGCTAAGCTTCGCCCTAGCCAAAGTCAACATCCTACCTAGTTCCTTGCAAAAACAGACGGCTACTTCAGCTAGAACTAGTGTTTCCTCCCTTAGGGTAAGAGATTGCCCAAGGGGTTTAGGCTGATCTAGATCTTCTGTTGTATGGAATTGACTCAGCACACACCCTACTCAACTTCGAAAATTGCGAACACCTCCAACCCAAGCGAATTTTCGCCAGCACCCTCATCCCAAACAAACTTTCGCCAGCACCCTCATCCCACACAAATTTTCGCCAGCACCCTCATCCCACACGAATTTTCGCCAGCACCCTCATCCCACACGAATTTTCGCCAGCACCCTCATCCCACACGAATTTTCGCCAACACCCCCAACCCACTCGAATCTCGCCAACGCCTCTAAACCACTCGAATTTTCGTCAACACCCCAAACCAACTAAAATCTTGTAAGCACCCCCCAACCAACGATTTTCGCCAACACCCCCAAACACGAGGAATACGTAGCGGATCTTGAAATTAGGAGGAAAGAAGCTTGTAGTCGCTGCTTATAACTTAGGCTGCTCTGGATGCCCTTTAAAAAAGGACGGGTCGCCGTACCCGTGGTCGGGTCGGGTCGATCCGACCCGACCGCGGGTCAGGTATGACCCGACCTGTTTTTGTCGGGTCGGGTTGGAAGAATCCTAGGGTCGACCCGACCTTGACCCGACCCGACCCGACCCGAACCCGACCACGGGTCAGCCAAGTCGGGTCGGGTCGGGTCGGGTCGGGTAGATGCTCAAGCCTACCCCATACCCATACAACCCCCCCATACCCGTGCAACACCCCCATACCCACACAACACCCCCCTTCCCGTGCAACCCCCCCATACCCATACAACCCCCCCATACCCGTGCAAACCCCCCATACCCATACAACCCCCCCATACCCATGCAACCCCCCATACCCATACAACCCCCCCATACCCGTGCAACACCCCCATACCCACACAACACCCCCCTTCCCGTGCAACCCCCCCATACCCATACAACCCCCCCATACCCGTGCAACTCCCCCATACATACAAACAACCCTTCCATACTCATGCAACCCTCCCATACCCATGCAAACCTCCCATACCCATACAACCCTCCCATACCCATACAACTCCCCATTCCCATGCAACCCTCCCATACCCATACAACCTTCCATACCCATGCAACCTTCCCATACCCATACAACCCCCCATACCCATGCAACCTTTCCATACCCATACAAACCCCCATACCCATGCAACCTTCTCATACCCATACAATCCCCCATACCCATGCAACCCTCCAACCCCCGATACCCAAGCAACCCTCCGATACCCATACAACCCCCCATACCCATGTAACCCTCCCATATCCATACAACCCCCCATATCCATGCCACCCTCCCATACCCATACAACCCCCCATACCCATGCAACCCCCCCATACCCATACAACCCCCCATACCCATACAACCCTCCCATACCCATGCAACCCTCCCATACCCATGCAACCCTCCCATACCCATGCAACCCTCCCATACCCATACAACCCTCCCATACCCATGCAACCTTCCCATACCCTCCTCACCCAGGTCATCGCTGCTTACAACCCCCTTGGCTGGGCTCGGAATGAAATCATCCGCATTCCTGTAAGTAGGGCTACATTCATCAAAGGCCGTTGTTGTTCTTCTGTCTTGTTGCTTCCTCCCCCCTACTCTTTTTCCTTCAAAATTCCCTTGGCTGTTTATTTCCATTCCCCTCCCTCTTCTCCCCCTTTTCTTTGCCCTTCTCTCTCTGCCGTTGTAGTGTTCCATTTCCCGCCCTTTTACTATAAGTCACCACACCCCTTTTCCCCAGATCTCAGTCCCAAATTCACTGTAACTGGTGCCCTATGAAAATTCGTCCCCTCGCAAAACCGGTTCCAAGATTTTGGCACTGGGATGAGTTAAACACCAACACCCCCCACCCCTCCGTTTTCCAGGTCTCCTCTCCGTCCGTCATTGTAACCGACGCCCATGGCAACATTGTTCCTTCGCAATCCATTCCCGAGGTCCTGGTTCCCTGGGAAACCCGATCCCGGTACATCAGAGTGCAGGTAGGGGAGGAGGCGTGGACGGGGGTAGAGGAGGCGAGACGTGGAAGGGAAGCGAGAGAGGAGGAGGAGGTGAGTGTTGGAAGGTCAGAGGCGGAGGAAGAGGAGGGTGTGAGCCAGCAGCAGCAGCAACAGCAACAGCAACAGCAGCAACAGCAGCAGCAACAGCAACAGCAACAGCAGCAGAAGAAGAAGCAGAACGATAAGGAGATCCGACAACAAACCCAGCAGCAGCAGCAGCAGCAGCAGCAGCAGGAGCGGAGGGTGCAGCAAGCAGGAGTGGTGTCAGTAGTGTTTCGTGCCGTGGTCCCTCCTCTCGGCTACTCCACCTTCTTCCTCACCTCAGCGCCGCCAGACAGCCCCGGTGCTGCTGAGACCAGCACGGAGTGGCAGGCGAAGGTGCAGCCGGGAGTAGGAGATGGGGAGTGGGGAAAGGAAGAGGGGGCGAGTGACAGGGAGGAGGGAGAAGAGGTGGGAGGGGGTAGGGAGGGGAAGGTGGGAAGGGAGGGAGGGAAGGGAGGGGAGGGTGTAGGGAGAGGAAGTGCGGCAGTGGTTGAGGAGGAGGGTGAGGGGGTCGATGGTGATGTGATCGTGCTGGGAGGCTGGGATGGTGCTGCTGGCGCTGGTGCTGCTGCTGGTAATGCTGATGGCGCTGGTGCTGCTGGTGATGAGAAGGGAGGTGCTGACTCTGGGAGTCTACCAAGCGCACTGCGGGTGGAGTTTTCCAAGGCAGGATACGGGATGAGCCGAATGCAGCTGCTGGGGCGAAACCAGCAAGGAGAAGAAACACTGGTAATACCTGTGCGGGTCATTGATTTCCCCGTGAGGGTCATTGATTTCCCCGTGAGGGTCATTGATTTCCCCGTGAGGGTCATTGATTTCCCCGTGACGGTCATTGATTTCCTTCACTCCACCATTTCGAGTCCCATGGCATTGTCTTTCGCTGGTCGTGCCTTATCCCCCCCCTTTATTTCAACTGCTTTTGATTTCCTTCCCCCCATTCCTCTCGCCAGCTGTCACTGCATTATCCCCTGTCGACTAACCCCTCTCCCCTGTGCTGCTTCGCCCATTGCCTTACCCTTCCTGTTGCTGCAGCTTTCAGACAAGCAAGTGGGCACAGGCATGGGTGTCTACACCTCAAACACAGTGCGTACATGCATTGGAACACTAGCCAGACATTTCTAGCCCTCGTTGTTCTTACCTTACCCTCTCCTCCCTTTGCCTTCTGCACTCCACTCCTCTTCCACTCCATCTCCCTTGAGTCCCCCAGCCCAGGAGCATCCCCTTTCTTGCCTCTTGTCTTTTGTCTTATTCATCCCATTCATGCTATCCCATTCATGCTATCCCATTCATGCTATTCCAACCCTACCCCATCCATCCAAGGCTCCAAGCCAAGCTATTGGTGCATTTTGCTCTATGACATGCCATCCACACCACACTCCACCATGCCATGCCATGCCATACCATGCCATGGCGGGCAGCAGTGGCGTACATTTGAGACGACTCAAAAACTACACTTCTATCATCCATACATACCACACTCCACCATGCCATGCCATGCCGTGCCATGCCATGCCATGGTGGGCAGCAGTGGCGTACAATACAGATGCCCATGTGCTTCAGAACGCAACCCCATCCCATCCCATCCCATCAACACCCTACCATGCCATGGCAGGCAGCAGGAGCATACATCTTCAACCCGCCACATGGAGCCACGTCTGCTCAGAGCATGAGGCAGCAGGCAAGCGATGTGAGAGACTGGACTCACCAGTGAAGACACTCTGGTATTGGAACCAGGACCCTCTCTTATTGCCCAGCCCAGAGCATGAGCCATCAGGCATGTGAACTCAGCCCTAGGATCAAAACCAAGAGTCTTTGAAAAACAAGGCAGGGACGTAAGCTTGCGCAGTCTGTGCCGTCGCAAACTAGCGCACTCAATGAGCCCATTCGTTCAGCCCTGCACCCACTGATGATTCTTGAGTTGTCCCATGAGCCATCGACACGCTTAAGCTTAACCCATGTGCTCTCCTTTTCTATCTCCAGGTGAAAATGCGTTTGTTGCGAGGGGCACACTTCAGAGAGACTTCTCCTAAAACTTCTTTTTAGGCGCCTAAAAAATAGACTATGTGCTCCTTGCGTCTTCAATCCCCAGGTTCCAGTTCGTTGCAAGTGGGGCGTTTGTGAAAAACTTCTCCCAACACTTTCTCTGTGTAGATCCCTGTCTCACCTCAGCCCTCACCTCACTTGACTCCACTCCACACACCTCCACCGCTCTGCAATCCCCAGGTGCCAATCCGTGTGATGCGAGGGCCACTAGTGCAGGAGTTTCATCGCACGCTGGCACCCTGGCTGTCCGAGGTGGGTGGGTGGGTGGCTTGACGGAGGTGGTGTGTGATTGCTAGTGGCCACTAGTGCAGGAGTTTCATCGCACGCTGGTGCCCTGGCTGTCCGAGGTGGGTGGCTGGCAGAGGTGGGTGGCTGTCGGTGCTTCCCTTGTATATTTTTCTCATGTTATGGAATCGCAATAGAGCAATCTAGTGCTTCTGCATGCAATGTTGTCATTGTTGCTCCTGGATTGCGATGCCCAGTCGTCTTCCCTCCCATGAGCGTTAACAACTGGGAGGCAAAGGCCCTCATGGCATCTCGACTTGGTTTCCCTCGTGCCCCATTCTGTCTGTCTTTGTAGGTTGTTCGAGTGTATCCGGGACAAGACTTTGCAGAGATTCATTACATGGTGAGTTTTGACCCGACTCACACACAGGTCCCTCGTTTGCAAAACACGGTGAGAACACTGTTACGGTTGAGAGAGAATTTGATAGCACCACCTAATTTGTTCCTTTAAACACACCTGATACAGCTCAGCAAAGTGCTTCAACGTAACGTAAGCGCTGCAACGCATGCTGCCTTCAAGATCACATGTTCCACATGCTGAGCCCATTTCCCAACTGCACGTACCCCACATGAGATACATAAGTGCCCACTTCCCCCTCCCCCCCCTTTTGGCTCCGCTTTTGAGTGGACTCAGAAGCATGAGACCTCCCCCCCCTACCCCCTTTGGGTCTACGACTAAGTCGACTCAAAAGCATAAGAGCTCCCTCCCCGCACCCATTGGGTCCAACATTATCTGGTGGGCCCGGTGCCCAGGAAACCCAGTGCGGGCCGGCAGGTGAATGCAGATGGGCTCATCATCAAACTGCTTGTGGTGGGCCCCCCTTCCCCTCCTCCTCCTCCTCCCGTTACCAGGTGGGCCCAGTGCCCAGGAAGCCCAATGTGGGGCGGGAGGTGGTGACTCGCTTCGCCTCCTCTATTGCCAGTGCAGGCGCCATCTTCACTGACTCCAATGGCCGGGACTACCTCCGACGGGTGCGCTGCTTGGGCTGGGGCACACATGGGTTGGTGGGTTTGGCGTGGCATGGCATCACAGGACCGGATCATGTGGGGTTTTTTTTTTTTGCTTTTTGCTTTAACGGAGTGGATACTTCAGAAGATTGTGCTGCGGTGCTTGGGGTTGGGTTTGTCATTCTTGCATGCCGTGCCCTTCCAATCCCGCACCGCATGTCGTGCCGTTCCCGTTCTCTTCCTCCCCTCACATCCCATCCTCTCAACCCCTTGCTCTCAACCCCTTGATCTCAACCCCTTACTCTCAACCCCTTGCTCTCAACCCCTTGCTCTCATCCCCATCAGGTGCGCAACCATCGCTCCGATTGGAATCTCACGGTCTACCAGCCAATCGCAGGCAACTTCTACCCTGTCAGTGCTCTAGTGCATCTGGGCGGCATGCTTGGATTGCGTGGTTTGACAGCATGCGTGGGCAGGGATTTTGGATGGCGTGTGAATAGGCGGTGTTGTTGCATGGATGTGTGGGTAGCATGTCATTGCATTTAGCACAATTCACCTTTGCATATCAGCTGCTTGCGTGTGCTTGCATCTGTTAGCATATCAAGTGTGTTAACATGTCACGTTCGTCTGCATATTTGCGTGTTAATATTTCACACGTGACTGTCTGCATGGCAGACGACAGCATATCATGTGTGTATCGCTTGTTGTGGTCATGTGTGTATCGCCTGTTGTGGTCATGTCACATCCCAAACGACTGCTAGCTATCCAGCAAGCAACACGCCATTGTCATTTCCTTCCATCCCCCCCCTCCTGCAGGTCACACAGCGGGAGCATTCATATCGGACCAGGTCGCGCAGCTCTCTCTGCTTGTGGACCACCCCTTGGGTGCTGCGGGGCGCCTCACAACATCACTGCTTCCGCTTTCTTCATCTGCCCCCCTTCCATTCCCCCCCGCCCCCTCCTGCAGCTCACCGCAGGAGCATTCATATCGGACCAGCACGCGCAGCTCTCTCTGCTTGTGGACCGGCCCTTGGGTGCGGCCAGCCTGGCAGACGGGCAGGTGGAGGTGATGCTGCACCGGTGAGCTGTCATGTCTGGATTGTGATGTCTGGATTGTGATGTCTGGATTGTGATGTCAGGATTGTGATGTCTGGATTGTGATGTCTGGATTGTGATGTCTGGATTGTGATGTCTGGATTGTGATGTCTGGATTGTGATGTCTGGATTGTGATGTCTGGATTGTGATGTCCGGATTGTGATGTCCGGATTGTGATGTCCGGATTGTGATGTTTGGATTGTGATGTCCGGATTGTGATGTCCGGATTGTGATGTTTGGATTGTGATGTCCGGATTGTGATGTCCGGATTGTGATGTCCGGATGGTGATGTCTGGATTGTGATGTTTGGATTGTGATGTTTGGATTGTGATGTTTGGATTGTGATGTTCGGATTGTGATGTCTGGATTGTGATGTTTGGATTGTGATGTTTGGATTGTGATGTTTGGATTGTGATGTTTGGATTGTGATGTTTGGATTGTGATGTTTGGATTGTGATGTTTGGATTGTGATGTCCGGATTGTGATGTCTGGATTGTGATGTTTGGATTGTGATGTTTGGATTGTGATGTCTGGATTGTGATGTTTGGATTGTGATGTTTGGATTGTGATGTTTGGATTGTGATGTTTGGATTGTGATGTTTGGATTGTGATGTTTGGATTGTGATGTCTGGATTGTGATGTTTGGATTGTGATGTTTGGATTGTGATGTTTGGATTGTGATGTCTGGATTGTGATGTTTGGATTGTGATGTTTGGATTGTGATGTTTGGATTGTGATGTTTGGATTGTGATGTTTGGATTGTGATGTTTGGATTGTGATGTTTGGATTGTGATGTTTGGATTGTGATGTCTGGATTGTGATGTTTGGATTGTGATGTTTGGATTGTGATGTTTGGATTGTGATGTTTGGATTGTGATGTTTGGATTGTGATGTCTGGATTGTGATGTTTGGATTGTGATGTTTGGATTGTGATGTTTGGATTGTGATGTTTGGATTGTGATGTTTGGATTGTGATGTTTGGATTGTGATGTTTGGATTGTGATGTTTGGATTGTGATGTTTGGATTGTGATGTTTGGATTGTGATGTTTGGATTGTGATGTTTGGATTGTGATGTTTGGATTGTGATGTTTGGATTGTGATGTCCGGATTGTGATGTCCGGATTGTGATGTCCGGATTGTGATGTCTGGATTGTGATGTTTGGATTGTGATGTTTGGATTGTGATGTTTGGATTGTGATGTTTGGATTGTGATGTTTGGATTGTGATGTTTGGATTGTGATGTTTGGATTGTGATGTTTGGATTGTGATGTTTGGATTGTGATGTTTGGATTGTGATGTTTGGATTGTGATGTTTGGATTGTGATGTCTGGATTGTGATGTTTGGATTGTGATGTTTGGATTGTGATGTTTTTTTTTTTTTTTTTTTTTTTTTTTTTTTTTTTTTTGATTGTGATGTTTGGATTGTGATGTTTGGATTGTGATGTTTGGATTGTGATGTTTGGATTGTGATGTTTGGATTGTGATGTCTGGATTGTGATGTTTGGATTGTGATGTTTGGATTGTGATGTTTGGATTGTGATGTTTGGATTGTGATGTTTGGATTGTGATGTTTGGATTGTGATGTTTGGATTGTGATGTTTGGATTGTGATGTTTGGATTGTGATGTTTTGGATTGTGATGTTTGGATTGTGATGTTTGGATTGTGATGTTTGGATTGTGATGTTTGGATTGTGATGTTTGGATTGTGGATTGTGATGTTTGGATTGTGATGTTTGGATTGTGATGTTTGGATTGTGATGTTTGGATTGTGATGTTTGGATTGTGATGTTTGGATTGTGATGTTTGGATTGTGATGTTTGGATTGTGATGTTTGGATTGTGATGTTTGGATTGTGATGTTTTTTGGATTGTGATGTTTGGATTGTGATGTTTGGATTGTGATGTTTGGATTGTGATGTTTGGATTGTGATGTTTGGATTGTGATGTTTGGATTGTGATGTTTGGATTGTGATGTTTGGATTGTGATGTTTGGATTGTGATGTTGGATTGTGATGTTTGGATTGTGATGTTTGGATTGTGATGTTTGGATTGTGATGTTTTTTTTTTTTTTGTGTTTTTGTGATGTTTGGATTGTGATGTTTGGATTGTGATGTTTGGATTGTGATGTTTGGATTGTGATGTTTGGATTGTGATGTTTGGATTGTGATGTTTGGATTGTGATGTTTGGATTGTGATGTTTGGATGTTGTGGATTGTGATGTTTGGATTGTGATGTTTGGATTGTGATGTTTGGATTGTGATGTTTGGATTGTGATGTTTGGATTGTGATGTTTGGATTGTGATGTTTGGATTGTGATGTTTGGATTGTGATGTTTGGATTGGTGATGTTTGGATTGTGATGTTTGGATTGTGATGTTTGGATTGTGATGTTTTGGATTGTGATGTTTGGATTGTGATGTTTGGATTGTGATGTTTGGATTGTGATGTTTGGATTGTGATGTTTGGATTGTGATGTTTGGATTGTGATGTTTGGATTGTGATGTTTGGATTGTGATGTTTGGATTGTGATGTTTGGATTGTGATGTTTGGATTGTGATGTTTGGATTGTGATGTTTGGATTGTGATGTTTGGATTGTGATGTTTGGATTGTGATGTTTGGATTGTGATGTTTGGATTGTGATGTTTGGATTGTGATGTTTGGATTGTGATGTTTGGATTGTGATGTTTGGATTGTGATGTTTGGATTGTGATGTTTGGATTGTGATGTTTTGGATTGTGATGTTTGGATTGTGATGTTTGGATTGTGATGTTTGGATTGTGATTGTGATGTTTGGATTGTGATGTTTGGATTGTGATGTTTGGATTGTGATGTTTGGATTGTGATGTTTGGATTGTGATTTTGTTGTGATGTTTGGATTGTGATGTTTGGATTGTGATGTTTGGATTGTGATGTTTGGATTGTGATGTTTGGATTGTGATGTTTGGATTGTGATGTTTGGATTGTGATGTTTGGATTGTGATGTTTGGATTGTGATGTTTGGATTGTGATGTTTGGATTGTGATGTTTGGATTGTGATGTTTGGATTGTGATGTTTGGATTGTGATGTTTTTTTTTTTTTTTTTTTGGATTGTGATGTTTGGATTGTGATGTTTGGATTGTGATGTTTGGATTGTGATGTTTGGATTGTGATGTTTGGATTGTGATGTTTGGATTGTGATGTTTGGATTGTGATGTTTGGATTGTGATGTTTGGATTGTGATGTTTGGATTGTGATGTTTGGATTGTGATGTTTGGATTGTATGTTTGGATTGTGATGTTTGGATTGTGATGTTTGGATTGTGATGTTTGGATTGTGATGTTTGGATTGTGATGTTTGGATTGTGATGTTTGGATTGTGATGTTTGGATTGTGATGTTTGGATTGTGATGTTTGGATTGTGATGTTTGGATTGTGATGTTTGGATTGTGATGTTTGGATTGTGATGTTTGGTTTTGGATTGTGATGTTTGGATTGTGATGTTTGGATTGTGATGTTTGGATTGTGATGTTTGGATTGTGATGTTTGGATTGTGATGTTTGGATTGTGATGTTTGGATTGTGATGTTTGGATTGTGATGTTTGGATTGTGATGTTTGGGATTGTGATGTTTGGATTGTGATGTTTGGATTGTGATGTTTGGATTGTGATGTTTGGATTGTGATGTTTGGATTGTGATGTTTGGATTGTGATGTTTTGGATTGTGATGTTTGGATTGTGATGTTTGGATTGTGATGTTTGGATTGTGATGTTTGGATTGTGATGTTTGGATTGTGATGTTTGGATTGTGATGTTTGGATTGTGATGTTTGGATTGTGATGTTTGGATTGTGATGTTTGGATTGTGATGTTTGGATTGTGATGTTTGGATTGTGATGTTTGGATTGTGATGTTTGGATTGTGATGTTTGGATTGTGATGTTTGGATTGTGATGTTTTGGATTGTGATGTTTGGATTGTGATGTTTGGATTGTGATGTTTGGATTGTGATGTTTGGATTGTGATGTTTGGATTGTGATGTTTGGATTGTGATGTTTGGATTGTGATGTTTGGATTGTGATGTTTGGATTGTGATGTTTGGATTGTGATGTTTGGATTGTGATGTTTGGATTGTGATGTTTGGATTGTGATGTTTGGATTGTGATGTTTGGATTGTGATGTTTGGATTGTGATGTTTGGATTGTGATGTTTGGATTGTGATGTTTGGATTGTGATTTTTTTTTTTTTTTTTTTTTTGATTGTGATGTTTGGATTGTGATGTTTGGATTGTGATGTTTGGATTGTGATGTTTGGATTGTGATGTTTGGATTGTGATGTTTGGATTGTGATGTTTGGATTGTGATGTTTGGATTGTGATGTTTGGATTGTGATGTTTGGATTGTGATGTTTGGATTGTGATGTTTGGATTGTGATGTTTGGATTGTGATGTTTTGGATTGTGATGTTTGGATTGTGATGTTTGGATTGTGATGTTTTGGATTGTGATGTTTGGATTGTGATGTTTGGATTGTGATGTTTTGGATTGTGATGTTTTTGGATTGTGATGTTTGGATTGTGATGTTTTGGATTGTGATGTTTGGATTGTGATGTTTTGTGATTGTGATGTTTGGATTGTGATGTTTTGTGATTTTTGTGATGTTTGGATTTGATGTTTTTTTTTGGATTGTTGATGTTTGGATTGTGATGTTTGGATTGTGATGTTTGGATTGTGATGTTTGGATTGTGATGTTTGGATTGTGATGTTTTTGGATTGTGATGTTTGGATTGTGATGTTTGGATTGTGATGTTTGGATTGTGATGTTTGGATTGTGATGTTTGGATTGGTGATGTTTGGATTGTGATGTTTGGATTGTGATGTTTGGATTGTGATGTTTGGATTGTGATGTTTGGATTGTGATGTTTGGATTGTGATGTTTGGATTGTGATGTTTGGATTGTGATGTTTGGATTGTGATGTTTGGATTGTGATGTTTGGATTGTGATGTTTGGATTGTGATGTTTGGATTGTGATGTTTGGATTGTGATGTTTGGATTGTGATGTTTGGATTGTGATGTTTGGATTGTGATGTTTGGATTGTGATGTTTGGATTGTGATGTTTTGGATTGTGATGTTTGGATTGTGATGTTTGGATTGTGATGTTTGGATTGTGATGTTTGGATTGTGATGTTTGGATTGTGATGTTTGGATTGTGATGTTTGGATTGTGATGTTTGGATTGTGATGTTTGGATTGTGATGTTTGGATTGTGATGTTTGGATTGTGATGTTTGGATTGTGATGTTTGGATTGTGATGTTTGGATTTGTTAGGATTAAGGACGGAGTCTAGGTGAACTTAGGAGCTAGAATTACTCAAAATATAAATCCGAAATTCTGGACAGAAAAGTCGTCTTCACAAGAAACGACGTCGACAAACAACTAGCCGTTGGAATGTCGCGAAACTTGGATATGTTGTAGCTCTTAATCTCAGCTACCGTTCCCAATTTGAATCATGTTGATTGATAAAGTATTCGCGACGCTATGGCTTTCGACGCACTAGGGGGTAAGCTGTAGGAGGAGAACTTAACTCAATCTCAAAGGTTCAATCAAAGTTCAAGAATCTCACAAGGAATTAGAAGGAGCAAGAGAAAGGTTGGGATAGGAAGAGAGGGATGAGAGGGAAGGTCCCAAGAGAGTCCCCAACCAAGGAAACCCCATAAGCACAAAGATTCCCTCCCTATAGGAACCTCAACTTTGACCTTTGTCCCTTCCCAACCAATCCATCCAAGTTGGCCACCCTTGCCAACCTAGCTTGGTTGTTCCCAACCTATTTGCAGCTGTTACAGTAGAGTGACAAGTTTCCCCAACCCCAAAGGTCCCAACTCCATATAAAGTCACCCCACAACTTCACTTAGTAACCGCCGCAATTGTAACGCAAGCTCATGAACTTTGAATCTTCATAGCTTTCGCGTTGTTGCTCCAATTGAAGAGATTCTTGTTGCGTCGGAAAGATCTTCTCAAGATCTATCATCACAAATACCTGCTCAAACAAAATAACACATAACACATTCCCAAACTCCAGAACACACACCACACAAATGCTTGCACATTCAAACCACACATGCAAGTTGAAAACATGGGATGGGAGGCAGACAGAATGTGATAGCATATGATGACATCACACAACAATCTCCCCCTCTGGCTGCCAACCATCATCCACCATACCACATCTCAAGCATGCATACTCAATGCACACTCATCCCAGCAAGCTTCATGCCCTTCCAATGATCCGCCTCCGCCAGACGCTTGGTGAAAATATCTGCTGCCTGCTGATGGGTCTTCACTATCTCCAGCCGCACCTCCTTATCAAGGAGTCTCCTCACCCAATGCCACTTAGGCCTTATGTGTTTTGTCAGCCCATGCAGACAAGCATTCTTGGCGAGCTTCACAGCGGACTCATTGTCACAATGTCCATCTGCCGTATCTTCCATCCCAGGAGTGCAGCTATCGCTAACAGCACCCTCAGTGTTGTTCCTTTCCCCACAGGAGCAAACACCTCATCATAGTCCTTCCCCTTTGTCTGCTGAAACCCCCGTGCCACAAGCCTAGACTTGTAGCGGGTCAGCTCCCCTTCAGGTCCATACTTGTGCCTGTAGATCATCTTGGAAGTGATTGCCTTCTTTCCAGGAGGCAAGTCACACAGGTCCCATGTCTCGTTTTCAATCAGGGACCCGAACTCCTCATCCTCACTCGCCTTCCACTTCTCCCCATTTGGTCCATTCAAGGCCTCCTCTCGAGTCTTGGGCTCAGGGATTGGTGCCCAGTAGCAGTGAGCGATCTCATCTTCCTCAATCTGCTCAACCACACTCCCAGCCTGCACCACATTTGGCTTGCCTCTTCCCCCATAGGTCAGCCTCACTGGAGGGCGCACATCCCTCCTAGGACGCTCAGGCGGGTGTGGAACTCGAGGTGGAGACTCATGCTGCTGCTGCTGCTGCTCTACTTCAGCTGCTCCCCCTTCCTCAGTCACCCCAGACATCTCCTCCTCTGACACTGCAACCTCCACCTGTCTTGAAGGGTGCTGCACCTCATCTGCCTCCACAATGAGCGGTGTAGATGGAAGCTTCTGTTGCTGCTGCTTCCATTCCTTGTAGTACAGGGACTCAAGAAACTTCACATCCCTTGACACTGTCAACTTCTGGGTGGTCAAGTCCCATAGCAGCCACCCCTTGTGATCCTTTGCAATCCCCAAGTGCACACCCCATCTTCCAGAAGCCTCCAACTTCCCCCTTTTCTCCTTAGGCACATGAAACACCACCATGCACCCAAATGCCCTCAGCATGTTCACAGCTGGAGCACTCCCATACCACTTGACATATGGGATCCACTCCTTATCTCCAACTGTAGCCAGCACCCTGTTCTTCACAAGGGCGACCTGCCTCAGTGCAGACACCCAAAACGGATCAGGCAGCCCTGCACGCCCAAGGAGAGTGCGTGCCCCCTCCTGCAGGGTCCTGTTGAACCTCTCAGCCACGCCATTCTGCTGCGGGTTGTAGGGCACTGTCAGTTGATGCTGGATCCCCTTCCTCTTCAACTCCCCCTCAAAATCAGCTCCAATGAACTCCCCACCATTGTCACTGCGGATCACCTTCACCTTGTATCCGCATTCCCTCTGAGCTCTAGGCATCCACTCCTTAAGGACAGCCGCTGCCACCTCCCCCTTGCTCTTCAAAGGGTAAACCCACACTGCCCGAGTGTGGTCATCCACAATTGTCAAGAAATAGCGGCTGCCTGAGAGGGAAGGCGCTCTTGTGGGCCCCACCACATCCATGTGCACAAGTGCAAGTGGGGTCTTGGCTGGTCCTGTAGTGCTGTTGAAGGGGAACTTGGAGAACTTGGTCTCCAAGCATGTAGGGCAGCTCCCAATCTCCTTCACTTCCCCTTTCACCTCCAAGCCCTTCAGGCTCCCATTCTTCACCAACTTCTGCAGCATAGGGAAGTTCACATGACACAGCCTCTCATGCCATGTCTCCCAATCGGCCTCTCCACTCCTTGATGAAGCCTTAGCCCATGCCGCACTCGCATCCACACCAGCAAGCACCTCGCCATGTGTCTGCTGCTGCTGCACTTTCTTGACTGCTTCCAGGACCCCATCAGTTGGTGCAGTTGCATCTCTTCCTGCTGTTGCCTTTGCCGCTGCTGCCGTTGCTGCTGTTGGAGTCTTCCCATTCCATGGGATGATGGGCAGCTGCCACAGGTCCTTGATGCAGCTGGTCTCCTCTTCCAGACTCCACAGCACCTTCTTCCCAAGCTTAGCACGGCAGCTGGTTGGTCCAAAGGTCACTTCGGCCTTGCTCTTCTGCAGTCGTCGCACAGAGAGAAGGTTAGCAGACAAGCCTTCAACCAGCAGAACATTCCCAAGCCCCACAAGCTCCCCATTAGCTCCCTTAACCTTGGCATTCCCAACACCAATCACGGGGAGCAAAGCACCTGACGCTGCTGCCACATACTTAATCTTCCCAGGGGGTTTTACCTCATCAAGCAAATCTGCCCGTGGAGTCATGTGACTGGTGCAACCCGAATCAATCACCCAGTGCGTGAGAGGGTGCATCACAACCTTTCCCACAGATCCCACATCACCCTCATGCCCATGCACATCCTCAACCATAACAAACAAACCAGGATAGGCATTACCTTGTGCACCTTCACCTTGTGCACCTGAGCCTTGCACAGCGCCACCTTGTGCGCGTTCACCACTGGGCGGCTTCATGCCTGGAGGTGCCCATCCCTCCAGCCTGCTGAAGCACTTGAACCAAGGATGCCCAACCTTCTTGCAGTACCAGCACGTGCCCTCCATTCTGGTACTCCCCCTGCCACTAGAGCTCCCATGCCCCTCATTATAGTCACCTCGGCCTCTACCTCTGCCAAAGCTCCTCCCACGGCCTCGGCCTTTCCAACCCCCTCTTCCTCTGCTGCGCCCTGCAGCTCCATACCCCTCAGCAGTCTTAGTGGCAGCACCGCCTCCCACATGGCGTCTGCGGAAGTCCTCCTGCAGAATCTGCTGCCTTAGCCACTCAGGTGTCCATTGATCTTGCTGAGAGTTGAGGGTGGGGATGAGGTTGTCCCAAGAGTTGTCCAACACCGAGATGATCTTGGTGCACTGCTGCAGCTGAGATACACTGCTGCCCGCTGCTGCCATCCTTGCATAGGTGTCCTTGATCTTGTCAAGGACCGGCTTCACATCGTCCCCTGGTCGCATGGAGATGGCAGCAAGTTCCTTCTCGAGCACGATCACCATCGGGAGAGTGTTGGGCTGAATCACATCGCGTAGTAGTTTCCACGCCCTTGGACCCGAATCATCCGCTTCCACAAGATCCTTGATGTGCTCGAACATCTCCTTGTTGACCGATTGAAGGATGAGGTCGAAAAGCACCGCGCTTTTCTCAATCCACCGTTCGCGTGCTTCGCCTTCTTCCGGCATCTTCTCTTCCCCAACAGCAATCTTCAGTAGCTTGTAGCGTTTGAAGGCACTCCTCATCCGTCCGCTCCATTCCTCATAGTTGGAGCCATCCAAAGCTTCAACTTTTGATGGCGGCGGCTCACTTGTCTTCTCAGCTACAGCTCCTCTTCCATTAGCATCTCCTCCTCTCTCATTCATCTTCTCCTTGAGAAATGACGAATTTCAGCCCCCCTTTGCTGTCCACACTCAGCTCCCTCGATATTTTCACAAGTGTCGGCGTCCACGAAATTTCGGCAGAGTTTCCCTTAGCGGAAGACACATCCAACCTTTAGAACACCACTTAGGCACACCCACAGGCCATGGTGGGTCTAGAAGGGTCTTCACACTTCTGTAGACTCCTCTCAACGTCCTTAATACAGCTCTGATACCACTTGTTAGGATTAAGGACGGAGTCTAGGTGAACTTAGGAGCTAGAATTACTCAAAATATAAATCCGAAATTCTGGACAGAAAAGTCGTCTTCACAAGAAACGACGTCGACAAACAACTAGCCGTTGGAATGTCGCGAAACTTGGATATGTTGTAGCTCTTAATCTCAGCTACCGTTCCCAATTTGAATCATGTTGATTGATAAAGTATTCGCGACGCTATGGCTTTCGACGCACTAGGGGGTAAGCTGTAGGAGGAGAACTTAACTCAATCTCAAAGGTTCAATCAAAGTTCAAGAATCTCACAAGGAATTAGAAGGAGCAAGAGAAAGGTTGGGATAGGAAGAGAGGGATGAGAGGGAAGGTCCCAAGAGAGTCCCCAACCAAGGAAACCCCATAAGCACAAAGATTCCCTCCCTATAGGAACCTCAACTTTGACCTTTGTCCCTTCCCAACCAATCCATCCAAGTTGGCCACCCTTGCCAACCTAGCTTGGTTGTTCCCAACCTATTTGCAGCTGTTACAGTAGAGTGACAAGTTTCCCCAACCCCAAAGGTCCCAACTCCATATAAAGTCACCCCACAACTTCACTTAGTAACCGCCGCAATTGTAACGCAAGCTCATGAACTTTGAATCTTCATAGCTTTCGCGTTGTTGCTCCAATTGAAGAGATTCTTGTTGCGTCGGAAAGATCTTCTCAAGATCTATCATCACAAATACCTGCTCAAACAAAATAACACATAACACATTCCCAAACTCCAGAACACACACCACACAAATGCTTGCACATTCAAACCACACATGCAAGTTGAAAACATGGGATGGGAGGCAGACAGAATGTGATAGCATATGATGACATCACACAAACAGCAGCATCTTGCAAGATGAGCTCAAACAGACCATCGATTTTTTCAAGCTTTCCCCCTCAGAGGTCATTTTCGAGCACGACAATGATCCCAAGCACAGGTCTCGTCTGGTCCAAGAGTGGCTTGGGGAGCAGGAGTACGCAGTGCTGGAATGGCCGTCGTGCTCCCCGGACCTTAACCCGATTGAGCACCTGTGGGCACACTTGAAAAGGCAGCTGGGGAAGTACGAAAAGCCGCCAAGTGGAATGCTGGAGCTGTGGGAGAGGGTGCAGGAGGAATGGGACAAGCTACCGGCAGAGGTGTGTGCAAACCTGATCGACAGCCTGCCGAGGAGGATCAAGGCAGTGATTCGGGCAAAGGGACGCTGGACTAGGTACTAGTTTTCACAGAATCTAGTATGCTACCAGTTTTCGGTACAAATTGTCCGGATGTTATCCTATGCTATGCTTAGGTGTTTAAGGACCATGTGTGGTACTACTTTGGTGTTTGTCAACACGAGTGAGTGCTCTAATTGAACTTCTCAGCGTGTATGCACACCATACATTAAGGCTTAATGTTTACATCGCTGCATTTATCAAAATCCCAAAAAAGGCTGAACATGTGGACAATTTATTCCGCCACTGTATGTCTCCTGACCCGATGCCCTCGTCCCACTTCTGGTCTTGCCGTCCCTCTCGTGCTTGTCCCATGTCTCCTGTCCAGCGCTCTCACCCTGTGTTGCTTCATTCTCATGCGTCTCGTCCTCCCCTCCTCCCGTCGCCTCCTCCGTCGTCGCCGGTTGTTGCTCCGCCTCCCCTGCTTGACTTCCTCCATACAGCTAGTCCCCTTGTTTCTCATTTCCTCGCCTCTCTTGTTACAGACCCGTCAGTTCCTGTCTCCTGTCTTGACGCTCTTCTCGCAACCATCGCTGACTTTGCCTCTACCCGCCGCCTTGACTACGCCACCCCTCTGGTCTGTGACCCTGCCCATCCTCCGTCCGTCGGGGGTGCTACTGCCCTTGGTAGTGACGTCATGGAGGACCGGCGGTATGAGCTAGCTTTCGTGTACGAGGCCCGCCTCATCTCTACTCCATGTTGCTAGTCCCTGAGGGTGACCCAGACGCCCTTGGCATCCCGACCCCTCCCACTTACGCTGAGGCGACCTCGGGACCCCGAGCCTCTCGGTGGATAGCTGCCATGGACGCAGAGATGGCATCTTGGAGGTCAACCGGTACCTACGTTGACGTAGTTCCCCCATCTGGGGTGAACGTAGTCGATGGCCGGTGGCCAGGTCCTTCAGAGAATCGGTTTTCAGTTTTCCTCCGCACAGCGCACACCTCTGCCAGTAGATCACAAGCTCTCAGCTCCAGTCCATGAGGAGTCAGAGCTGGTGGGTTGCTACATGTACTTGATGACTTGCACTCGTCCAGATCTCGCATACACTCTTAGCATCCTGGCTCGCTTTGTGGCCACAGGCAGACACCGACCACAGTACAGGTCACCCGCTAAGAGGGTTTGCGTTATCTAGCAAGTACATCGGGCATGAGGCTAGTGCTAGAAAGACGCATGCCTGTGGTCCGTACAGGGCACAGACAACGCTGAGAAGCTCAGGTCCCTCCCAAGGGCTAGTGCTTTAGCCCTGGTGCAGGCGTCATCTCGTTGAGGTCCACTCGCTCGTTGTGTGCTGCATAGTCTAGCTGTAAGGCTGAGATCTACGCTGGTTCCATGGCGGCACAGGAGCTCCACTGGCTGACTTTCTTGCTCACAAACTTAGGTGAGCGGCCTAGCTCTGCCCCAGTTCTGTACGCTGACAACAGGGCCATGATCCTCCTGTGTCACGAGACTCAACTGGAGGGCAGAACGAAGCACATTCAGCTGCGGTACTTCTTCCTGCGCAAGCTACAGCAGCGCCGCCAGGCCCGCGTAGTACACTTGGCCTCCGGTGCCAACACAGCTAATATCTTTACGAAGGCACTTGCGCCTAAAGATCATCAGCGGCACTGTGTACAGCTTGGTCTAGTTCCAGTAGCTTCTTACTTGTTAGGGCCCTGATGTAAACCTCCTCTTATATTATATTGACTTGCCTTGTGGCCAAGGTTGATGTTTCAAAAATGGGCACCCTTAGCCAACCCCCTTGAATATATATATATATATATATACATATATTTATATATATAAATTAAAATGAAAATGAAGGGCCTGTTGGTGCAACCCTATGGCTTGCACTCGGCTTGTCGTCCATGTTTGTGTGTATGTGCATGCATGGCATGTAATGACTTGTGATTCTATGTCATAGCTATCTAGTGCTTGTGTGTGTGTTTAAATGGTGTATCACAATATGGTTTGTGTCGGTCAAGACATTAGCGAGTTTTCACAACTCGCATCTCCAGTCGTCGTTTGCGCGTCGCATGTGCTTTCTCTATTTTGTCGAGTGTGAAGTGTCCATCTCATTGCAGGTGTGTGCAGCAAGTCCTCATCATCTCAAAAAGAATTGATCTTGCTGAACCAAGACCAAGAACTCAAGATTTCAAGCCCAAGGGACGTGGACAAATATTAAAATAGTGAAAAGAGTAATTCTACTTCAAGTAGTGTTATATTTCACTTGGTGTAGCCCCTTGTTGGGTTTGTTTCGAGTCTCCTCATGGTTGGGGACTCTGTGGTGGTGTACCACCAACTTGGACCGCGGCTCTTGGGGTATGTAGAGGCTGGGAACCATCCCTACCTCGAATTCTTCTTCCTAAGTTTTTTTTACTCCTAAGACTATAGTGGCTGCTGTACCTTCTGCCAGTCAAACCGCCATAGCTTCGTCAAATCTTCATGGAATGTTATGATTCAAATTGCTGCTGATAGGCAACAGCAACGCGCTCCAGATCCAATCTACAGATTACCGTTTAAGGCATACATCAGATCGGCATCAATATTTGAAGCTGTCTGACGGAATTCTGACTATGCACAATTTCTCTCATTTAAGGCACATCTGAGCCTATTGTGGTTATAAAAAGGGGTATCAGAGCCCCTTGGAGCCATTTCGACCATGCCTAGAACTGAGGAAGGGGGTGGCAGAGGTGCTGGAGGCAGAGAAGACGCCCAAGCACAACGTCAACACCAAGTTCCACCCGTTGCTCCTGTGCAACCTATCCTTGGCCCCTCTAGGGATGAGCCTAGAGTGTTTGGCCTTGACAAGTTCAACGGTGACAACTTTGCTGAGTGGTCCTTCAAGATGGAGAACATCTTTGACCACTATGATCTGCTGGAGGTGATGGAAGGAACGGAGAAGCGCCCCGAGAACGACCCGGAGAAGAGCCCGTGGTTGCGGAAGAGCGCACAAGGCTACCTTCTACTTGGGCAAGCGTTGGGGAGCAGCCAAGTCCGTCACATCAAGCCTTTTTAGCGTGAACCAGCAAAGGGACCAAAGGCATGGGCTGCTCTCAAGGGTGTACACGCTCCTGCAACAGCGGCAGTGGCTGTGGTTTAGGAGCGGCAAATGGCGGCACTTCGAATTGACGAAGGCGAACTGGTGGAGGAAGGAGTGCAGAAATTCTTCGACTTGTTGACACGGCTCGAAGGAGCTGACCTGAAATACAGTGACTTCCAAAAGAAGACCAAGCTGATGGCCTTACTTCCAGACTCATGGGTCCTCACTCATCATCAACCTAAATCGAGATCTGCCCTGTCTCTCACTCGAAGATGTGAAGCAGGAAATCTTACAAGAAGATTTCCGCCGTTGCGAAGTGGCGGGTCCGTGGAACAACAACAACGGAGGATATGGCAGCAACAACAATAACAATGGCTACCGGCGTGGGCGCGGTAGATTTGATGGCGAATGTCACTTTTGCCACAAGACCGGCCACATGTGGAGAGATTGCTTCAGATTGCCTAATGGATGGACCCCTTCTCAAGGTCAAGAGGGCAGAGGAGCAAGGGGAGGAAGAGGCAGAGGTCGTGGAGGCCGTGGTGGTCATGGAAGCGAAGCGGCAAGCATGAAAGGTGGAGACTACAAGACGGGCCCGAGTGAAGATCGATACCCGGGCCAATTCTTCTTTGTCTCCACGCAAGCGGCAGCTGCAGCAGGAGGTGTAGAAGGCTTTGAGGAGCCAGCTACTGTGGGAAAGGTCACCCTTCACTCTCAAGACTTTTGGGTGATCGATAGTGGCGCCACCTATAGCATGACACCTCGTGCGGACTTGCTCACCAAGCTCGAACCATCGCCGGTGAAGCATGTTACATCGACATTGGGGCAGCGAGCAGAGGTGAAAGACATGGGCAAGGCCATATTCAAGGGTGCTGATGGGAAGATGGTGGGCGTCAAGAATGTGCTTTGGGTGCCCAGCCTCGCATCCAACCTGATTTCTGTGCGGCGTTTGCAAAAGGCCGCCATGGACATATCTTCCAAGGGATCCAAAACATATACCGCGAGGCTTGGTGAGCGGAAGCTTTGGGACCTTCATGAGGACAGGGACATCTACAATGAGATGTGGCAAATCCTAGTGGTCCCCATGCCTAAGGGGAGGCAATTGGCAGCAAGCGTCAGCACCAAGAGTGAAGCGGTTGGTGGCGGTGATCACGGAAAACAAAGTGACACCAAGAGTGACTTGAAGGAGTGCAACCTTGGAGAGACCAGCAAGGCGTGTGAAACCAAGGAGAGTGGTGCAGCAGCCAAAGGTGGTGGAAATGAGGAGAAGAAGGCTAAGATCAGTAAAGCAGCAGCGGAAAAGGAGAAAGGAGAGAGCTTGTGGGGCACAATTGCGAGTGCCGCTTTCTCCAACCCGACTTCCGCTACGGGAGAGTGTGATTGGCTGACCTTGCATCGGCGAATGAGACATGTGGCATCGTCCATTTTGCAGCAGATAGTTACGCAAGAGATGGTCAGTGGGATACGTATCAAGGGGGAGCCCAATGGGGTGCTTGGCTGTCTAACCTGCATGCAAGCCAAGTTCACCCGCTACCCGTTCCATAGCTCGGAGACAACGGCGAAGGCACCATTCGATGAGGTGGTGATGGATATGGTGGGCCCCTTGAAGCTTGGAGCTGCTGGAGCAGAGTACTTCCTCACCATTGTGGACGTCTACACTCGCATGACTTGGGTGTATGTGCTTACCAAGAAGAGTGACGTAGCTGAAACTGTGAAGACCGACTGGTTGCCGATGGTGGAGCGGCAACAAGGCCGGCTTGTGAAGGCGATTCGCACAGACCGTGGGGGAGAGTTCCTGAGCTAGGACTTCTCAAGTTGGCTGAAGAAGCAGGGCATGAGGCACTCTCTCACCATGCCCTACTCTCCTGCAATGAACGGCATCGCCGAGCGTGCGAATTGGACACTCACGGAGACAGCTCGGGGACTTCTCATTGAAGCCGGTCTACCCAATTACTTTTGGCCGGATGCGGTGCGCCATGCTTGTGTGGCCAAGAACAGTGCCTTGACTCATGTGGGAGAAAACAAATGGGTGCCCTATGTAGAGTGGATTGGAAGGAAGCCGAAGGTGGATATGCTTCAGGTGTTCGGGTGCATGTGCATGGACCTTGTGCCTAAGAAACGTCGGCACAACAAGCTTGATGCCAAGGCAACATGGGCCGTGCACCTGGGCATGGCTCAAAACAGCAAGGGATGGTTTCTTTGGAACCCATTTACCAAGAAGTTCTTGGTGAGCAGAGATTGCAAGTTCATGGAGAACTTACCGTACAAGGAGTGGAAGGTGGAGAACCAAGCGAAGATTACCGGCTTGGAGAGGTAAAGAGTACCGACCTGGAGCATGTGGAGCTACCTTTGGATATGAGTAGCAGCGGCACAATCATCAGGCAATATCCTCAAATGAATGGGGGAGAAGCGGAGGAGGAGGTCCAGCAAGATGAAGAGCATGCATCGTCACTTCCGTCTCGTTCTACAAGTGCTCGCGGGAACCGACCAGATTTACTGCAACGCCATGAGAGCATTCAAGTCCCTACAGCAGAGGAGGAAGGAAGGGGTAGAAGGAAGACTCAGCCCCCAATAGGTTGAGCTATGATCGGCTTGGAAGACCAGCCAACTCAATCTTGACCGGTTTGGCTCTCATGCTAGGCGATGATGCGGAAGATGAAAGCGAGGAGGCGCTTTTGCCTTCTTCTCTCCGGTGGAGATGCCGGGGGAGCCTACAAATCCCAAGGAGGCTTGGAGGGCCCCAATGGGAAGGAGTGGAAGAAGGCCTCAGATGAAGAAATGGGGAGCATCATAGAGAACGACACATTTGACTTGGTGAATCTACCTCCGAGGCGGAAGGCGATCTCTTCCAAGTGGATCTTCAAGCGCAAGACCGACGCCGACGGCAACATCGAGCGCTACAAGAGCAGACTTGTAGCCAAGGGATACCAGCAGCAGGAGAAGAAGGACTACAATGAAGTATATGCCCCTGTGGTTAAGGGTACAACCCTTCGAACTCTCTTCGCCGCGGCGGCCATCAAAGGATGGGTGGTGAAGCAAATGGATATTGTAACGACCTTCCTCAACGAAGTTTTGGAGGAAGGGACCTACATGGAGCAGCCAGAGGGGTACAATGATGGGAGTGGCAGAGTGTGGAAGCTGAAGAAAGCACTCTATGGCCTCAAGCAAGCCCCTAGGCGATGGTACATCAAGCTGCGGGAAGTCTTGAAGGCGATCGGCTTCACTCCCTCAACGGGCGATCAATCCTTGTTCATGCTTGGCGAGGGGGAGCAGAGGAGCTTCATGGTGGTTTATGAGGATGAAATCCTTATATTCTCACCCTCCTCTGACCTCGTGAAGGAGGTGATGCTGAAGCTTCAAGACAAGTTCAAGTGCAAGACCCTTGGTTATGTCATGTGAGAGTACGACCCCGTTACACCACTTGTCCCTTTCCTTATTTCCTTCCTCTTTCATTTCTCTTTTTATCTTATCTCATTTGGTTTCCTATTCTCCATTTTTCCGTTAACCTTTGGTTTATCCTGCTATTATAATTATATCACCGACCAGGCTTGGGATGTACTGGTGCGCTATCTGGCATAATCCTGCCGTAATCCCTTAAAGCCAATAGCCTCGCGTGGCTATACGCAGGGTGATTCTATCTTCTAGAAGGGTCTATTTCCTTAGGATAGGATAAACCTGGTTACCTGATGTACTCTGGAAGTATAAAAGCACCTTGTACTGATCGATAGTGCAACCTTTCCTCGAGTCATTCGATCCTGTGACACTTGGTAATCAGAGCTTTTCTCACTCGGCCGCGCTCAGCTAAGCAGCAGCAGCGGGGATCCTGCCTCGAAAAACCGTCGGGGGCGACCAATTCGACGCCGATTCTGGTAAGCACTAGCTCCGCGTTTTTCCGAATTACCCCCTCCGCGCGTGTTTTGAACAGGATGGCGAACCTCGACAACGCCGAGGTTACCCAGCAGCTCTTCGCGCGCATCGCAACCCTTTAGGAGGAGATGCGAGCGGATCGCGAAGCATGGCGAAACGAGTTCGAGCGAGTAACTCGACTCGCCGGAGCGCAGCACGACTCGACAACGGCGACGACGCAGCAGTCGCAACAGTTTCTCGAGGCTCCAAAACCGCGCCCACCTGAGCCGTTCGATCCGAGCGATCGAAACTCCGACGCCCGCAGATGGATCGCCGGCATGGAGATCTACTTCGCAGCCGTCGGATGGAGCTCGCCAGGCTGGGACGGTCAACGCGTATGACTCGCGGCGACACTGATGCAAGGGCCGGCACTCGAGTGGATTGGCGGCAACAATACCTTCATCCACGGTGAAGCCACGTGGCAGCAGTTTTGCGCCGACCTGCTGAAACGATACGAGCCGATAAATTCGAGTTTCCTTGTCTGGGAAAAAATTCATCGAAACTGACAGTTCGGGAGTGTAGCACAGTACACGCAGCAGATGGAGGAATTTTATAACCGCATTCCCAACTTGAACGAAGGGGAAAAAGTACAGTCGTACCTCGTCGGGCTGAAGACCGAAGTCAAACGACAAGTGGCAGCGTCAAACTACGCGAGCTACAGTGACGTCGTATCGGCCGCGTAGCGCTTCGACATGGTCAACGACGGGACACGACGGACGCACGTCGGCAGTACGCGACAGGGCGACCGCTCGGCTCACCCCACGTTCGCCGACCCGATGGAAGTCGACAGATTGGAGGGGCGGCCACGTCCGATAAACACCAACTACACGTGTGATTTTTGCGGGTGCCGGGTCATCGAATCTTCGACTACAACAAAATGAAAACCGCACGCGCAGAGTATCGGGCATGCAACAGTGGCGGAAATCCTTCGTCCAATCAAAAGCTAAAAAATGGGACTCGCCAATGATTGCGGATCTAGCTGGCGAAAAAGAAAAGATCCGGAAGCGGCCGCGGGATTCCGAGAAAATCAACTTCGACGAAGCTGATTCGACGCGAGAAGGAGGAAATGATGGGGGAAAATCTCCACCCCACGACCAGTCTTCGCCAGGGAAAATCGCCGAGGAAAAATACGACTCCGCGAAAAAAGACTCTGCCGAGACAGGGAAACTCCTTGAAGACCCGAGAAATTATAAGGATTCGTTAAAGTTATCTTATAAAGATGCTTTAATGAAAACTTATGATTTTCGAGGAGCTAGAGCCTTGGAGAAATTTCGGGAGGGACTCAAAAAGAAGCAGACAGCTGTGGAGATTATACCGGTACCGGAGAACTTGGGGACCAAATTAAGGAGTGTGGAAAGAAGCCGACCTTTCCACGGATTCAACGTCCTCTCCCGACACCAGCCCACAACGACTACCCGTTCCCCAGGGAAGACGTCGGTGGAGCTGAAACAGCTCAAGAGGAAGCAGGGGGTCTACAAGAAGCCGCACAAACCCCAAACTCCTCCTATGGATGCATCCAGTTCTTCGGCATCAATGACGCGCACAGTCGTCAAAGAAACTCCGGGCCCTGGAGAAGAGCCGTTCTCCAAGCAGCCTCAGCCAGCTGCCAGCTCAGGAGTAGATAGTAACACAAAGGTGTGTACGGAATATTGGGATGTACCCTATGACCCAATCAATGAGACTTTCTTTGGGTACTCCGAGCAACGACTGCCCTCGTGCTCGAGGTCATCTGCAAAGGACGACGCCTCCAAGCACTCGTGGACAGCGGAGCATCACACACCGTCTGCAACAAGGCAGTAATCGACCAACTTCGGGAAGAGTACAAGCCTTCAGGATTCTCTGCAACGATGGTGGACGGAAGCAAGTTACCAGTACACGGCGAAGCAGTGCTACACCTACAAATCGGACCACTGCGCTGGAGACCTGCACTCCCCATCACCAACATCAAAGGGCTTGACTTGATCTTCGGGCGAGACTTCCTAAAACGATTCAACCCCGAGATCAACTGGGTGAACCGCACCGCAAACATCTACAACAATGGACGGAGAGTACAGCTACCCAACTGGGACGGTACAGGAGATATCCCAGAGGAGACCCTCGCCATATTCGAGAAGGACGTGAAGAGAACCAACACCGGGTTCCTAGCGATAGCAACAGAGGTGGAGAATGACGGAGAGAAAAGCCTCAGAACCTCCAGAAAAATCAAGGACTTACTGAAGGAGTTCCAAGACATTCTTCTTGACGATCTTCCAAACGAGCTACCGCCCTACCGAACGCATCAACACGAGATCGTGGAGGAACCGGGTTCGAAGCCGACCTTCCGAGCACTATATCGGCTCAGCCCTACGGAGCTGACCGACATGAAAAAACAGATCGAGTATCTCCAAGCCAAAGGACTCATCCGACCATCCACTTCACCATGCACTGCCCCAGTACTCTTCACACCGAAACCGGACGGAAGCTTGCGCATGTGCATCGACTACCGAGCTCTTAACAAGAAGGTCCAGTTCCTATGACACATGGTGAGCGCTCAAGGAGTTCACGTCGACCCCAAGAAAATCGAAGCCGTACGTACGTGGAAGACACCCGAGAATGTGAAGGAGTTGCAGCAGTTCCTAGGCTTCGCGAATTATTACAACAGGTTTGTGCCACAGTATGCGAAACTAGCAGCCACTCATGAATCTGCTGAAGAAGAACATGCCCTACAAATGGGAATCGAAGCACCAGGAAGCCGTGGAGCAGCTGAAACAAGCTTTCACGACCGCCCCGGTACTCATCTTGCCAGATCCCGAACGCGACTACGTAATCGAAGCTGACGCCAGCGACCAGGCAGTGGGAGCAGTCTTAATGCAAGACCAGGGGAATGGACTACAACCAATCGCCTACCTCAGCAAGAAACTACATGGAGCAGAACTAAACTACCCGATACACGACAAAGAGGCCGTTGCCATTGTCATCGCTTTCAAAGCATGGAGATGTTATCTCGAAGGACGGCGAACAACTGTCTACACCGACCACTGCAGCCTGAAATACTTGAAGACACAACCCAACCTTTCCAGGCGGCAGGTCCGGTGGATCGACTTCCTCGAGACACACTTCCACTACGACATCGTGTACAAGCCGACCACAAAAACAAAGCAGACGCTCTTAGCCGGCCTGCGCACATTGCCGCTATTCAAATTGAAGGGATGAATCCACTACTCAAGGGAATCTTCACACAATGGTACGCCATCGACCCAGAAATCCCCTTGGCTGGAAAATGACATCTGATACAGTGGACAGTGACATCGCGTACCGGAAAGGATCAGCAAAAATCTGGGTACCCAATTACCCTCCTTTGCGCCAGTTACTACTCGAAGAATACCTTGACGTCGTATACGCGGACACTTTGGTAGCAACAAGACGCTCACCGGTATCGCCAAACACTACTACTGGCCCCACATGGTAGATGACGTACAGAAATTCGTCACCTCGTGTGATACATGTCAGCGGATGAAGAGCAGCAAGCAGAAAAAGGCGGGACTACTGCAGCCTCTTCCTGTCCCAGAACAGCCATGGCAAGTGGTCAGCCTCAACTTCATCACCGTGTTACCACCTACCACCAGTGGTCACGACGCAATCCTTGTCGTCATCGACAAGTTCTCCAAAATGGGACATTCATCCCGACACACACGACGGCACGCACCGAGGAGACAGCACAACTCTTCGTTCGTCACATCATCTCACAGCATGGCATCCCAACCACACTCATCTCCGACCGAGACCCAAGTTCACCAGCAAGTTCTAGAAGGAACTTATGTCTCTCCTCGGGACCAAACTCGCCATGTCATCCGCTTATCATCCGCAGACAGACGGACAAACCGAACGCCTCAACCAAATTGTTGAAGAACTCCTCCGAGCAGCCTGCAAGGACGAGATTTCCAAATGGGACCTGCACCTGCCCGTTCTGGAGTTTGCTTACAACAACGCTACACATGCGCTACTGGACAGACGCCGTTCTTCCTCTGCTACGGACGCCACCCACTCACACCACAGAAACCGACCACATCCGCTACAGTACAACCTGCACATGATTTCATCACAACATGCATCAGCTTTGGATCGGACCCACAAGCGCCTCCTCGACATTCAGCAGCAACAAAAGCGCCAGGCCGATCGCCATCGCAACGACCACACCATCACAGTGGGAGACCAGGTGCTTCTTGACGCCCGCAACCTGGACATCAGCCACCTCCCGTCTAAACTGCGACCTCGCTTCTGCGGGCCTTTTCTTGTCGAAGCACAGGTTACTCCTGTTACCTTCCGCTTGCGTCTGCCAGCCATTTGAAAGATTCACAACGCCTTCCATGTCCAACTTCTAAAGCCCTATCGGGATCGAACACGATCTTCGTCGGACGCCAACCGCCGCCGCGCCACCCATCCTCGTCCAGACTGAACCCGAGTACGAGGTCGAGTCCGTGCTTGCACACCGTCGACGTCGGAATGGCACCGCAGAGCTTCACATCCGCTGGAAGGGTTATGATCCTTCTGAGGACAGCTGGGTACCTGAGTCCGACATGGGTAACGCCCGTCGTCCTCTGCATGACTACCTTGTGAAGCAGGGTGTTAATCTACAACCAGCTTTAAGGGGGGGAAGTGTGGAGTACGGCCCCGTTACACCACTTGTCCCTTTCCTTATTTCCTTCTCTTTCATTTCTCTTTTTATCTCATCTCATTTGGTTTCCTATTCTCCATTTTTCCGTTAACCTTTGGTTTATCCTGCTATTATAATTATATCACCGACTAGGCTTGGGATGTACTGGTGCGCTATCTGGCGTAATCCTGCCGTAATCCCTTAAAGCCAATAGCCTCGTGTGGCTATACCCAGGGTGATTCTATCTTCTAGACTGGTCTATTCCCTTAGGATAGGATAAACCTGGTTACCTGATGTACTCTGGAAGTATAAAGCGCATTGTACTGATCGATAGTGCAACCTTTCCTCGAGTCATTCGATCATGTGACACGTCAACTACTCCTTGGGCTTCACATTGAGCGAGATGTGGAGAAGCGGTGGATGCGAGTGCATCAAAAGAAGTACTTGGAGGCCTTGACTGCAATCTTTGGGAAGAGTGAAGGTTATGTGGCTAATCCTCTACCCTCGGGGTTCAAGTGTGTGAAGGGACCAGCGGAGGAAGTGTTGGTGAAGAGGAGAGGCGTCGTTTTCACTCCTTGGTGGGCAGCCTCATGACCGACCTAAAGCGGAGGCGCTCAGACAGGGGGAGGGGACTAATCGTGAGTTGTGCGACAGCATTACGTGACACCAGACAACACGGGCAAGGGCAGCAGCGGCAGCGGACTCATGGTCAGCAGACGAAGGGTCAGCGGGTAGAGCAGCAGGGGGTCAGGGCAGGAAGCGTACCGTCGATGTGGACGGCCAAGTGGCCGTCCTAACGTTGACCGGTGAGGTGACGGCGAGGTCGACGAGCCACCTGTCTAACTCACCGGCTGACCCTCCGCGTCAAAGCGCATGACCTGTTGGTGCAACCCTATGGCTTGCGCTCGGCTTGTCGTCCTTGTTTGTGTGTGTGCATGCATGGCATGGAATGACTTGTGAGTCTATGTCATTGCTATCTAGTGCTTGTGTGTGTGTTTGAATGGTGTATCACAATGTGGTTTGTGTCGGTCAAGACATTAGCGAGTTTTCACAACTCGCATGTCAAGTCGTCGTTTGCGCGTCGCATGCGCTTTTTCTATTTTGTCGAGTGTGGAGTGTCCATCTCATCGCAGGTGTGTGCAGCAAGCCCTCATCATCTCAAAAAGAATTGATCTTGCTGAACCAAGACCAAGAACTCAAGATTTCAAGCCCAAGGGACGTGGACAAATATTAGTGAAAATAGTAATGCTACTTCAAGTAGTGTTACATTTTACTAGGTGTAGCCCCTTGTTGGGTTTGTTTCGAGTCTCCTCATGGTTGGGGACTCTGTGTGGTGTACCACCAACTTGGACCTCGGCTCTTGGGGTATGTAGAGGGGGAACCATCCCTACCTCGAATTCTTCTTCCTAAGTTTTTTGTACTCCTAAGACTATAGTGGCTGCTGTACCTCCTGCCAGTCAAACCGTTATAGCGTCGTCAAATCTTCATGGAATTTTATGATTCAACTTGCTGCTGATAGGCGACAGCAACGCGCTCCAGATCAAATTTACAGGTCACCATTTAAGGCACACATCAGACCGGCATCAATATTGAAGCTGTCTGACGGAATTCTGACTCTGCACAATTTCTCTCATTTTAGGCACATCTGAGCCTATTGTAGTTATAACAGGGCCTTCAGCCAAAATATCGGTACTCTGAAACGTGAGAGTTCAGGATTGAGCTTGTCTGAATTTCTCAGGGTCCAACGAGTACAACCATAGCAAAAAAGAATAGAGACGAAAATTTGCGGATCTTTTAAGGGTACTGACGACGATGCCTTAGTATGAAAATGTTTTTGACCCTAGACGGGGAGAGATGAAACAACTATTTTCTAATATTCGCCCCTTTTAGGAAATTTCTCGTCAGCTGCCTGTATGGCAATTGAAAGTCTATCAATATTCGACAGCCTCGATCGATTGCTGTCGTTTGGACATGTTTGCACCGTTCGATGATCGCTAATGATTGACGTCCAAGATCTCTCAACCGGGGCGTTGCAAGGGCGCGAAGTTTCTCCCACCGCTCTATTCACTCAGCTTGCCCCCTCTCCCTAGATTTGATCCCCCTCCCCCTCCATTTTCAATCCCCCCTCCCCCCCTGTTTCGCTTCCCCCTTTCCGTCCGTTTCGATCTCCCCCTTCCCCACCATTTCGCTTCCCCCTTCCCTTAGGAAGATTTGTCTTCGTGCCCAGCTCACCCTCATATCTGTTATATATATGTTTATGACTTAGTCAAAAGTTTGGGCTGTTTGGGGTCAGGGTGTTAGGGAGACTGTGTCTGATAACCCCACTTAGCCGAGACTTTCGATATGTTGTGGGGTGTGTGGGGGGTGTCTCCAGCGTTCAGGAACTTGGCCGAAATTTTCTATGGGTTGTGGGGTGTGGGGGATGTCTCTAGCATTTGGGGACTTAGCCGAATTTTTCTGGGTCGCATGTTGGTAGTGAAATAAATCGTCTGATATTGTAAGAGACTAAGTATAAAACTATAGACACGAACACTTGGCAAATCCTCAAGTGTTGGTCCAGAATCTTTGCTGGAATGGTAGACTAGTAAGACAGCGGAAGTCTTGTAAAATGTAAAGGTCAAGGTTGAATAACCTGAGTACGTGAACTTGTGAGTAATCAAAGTTAATAATGAAAAGACATAACAAGGATTTATAGTTCTAGGAAAAGTACCTATTCACTAATGTACCTTTTCGTCACTATCGCGCTATGCGCCCTAGATGATAATGAAGAGATGCGACTGTTCGCGTGACTGAAACGACTGTCCTATGACGAGCACTATTTGCTGACGTCATACTACGAACTTATCTTCTACAGTATGATTCGACATTAACTACACTTAATCGACTAACAGAAATACTAAGTATCAATTATATCACAACACTCCCCTTCATTTCTGGAAGTTCGATAGTGTCACTTCTTGAAGATTCCGCAGAGCTTGTTACAGTGCTGAAACTTCTGTCGTGTCAGCTTCTTCGTGAGGAAATCGGCAGCCATTTTGTTGGTCGAAGCCAGACCAATCGCATCCTCCCCTTCTCGACTTCATCCTTGACGAAAAAATAACGCAGAGAAATATGCTTCGTCCTGTTGACGAAGCCAGGCTGATGTGTGATACGAATTGCACATTGATTGTCGCACTGTAGGGTAAATTGGGTAGTCGTCGCAAATTTCTTCTTCTTCT